GAGGGATCGGTGATGGACTCGGGGTAACCGACCATACCGGTCTGGAAGACCAATTCACCCGAGATGCTCTTCTCAGCACCAAAGTTGTAACCCTGGTAGACTGTGCCATCGGCCAACTCGAGGGAAGCCAAGCGGCCGCTACCACCCCGGACAGGGATGGAGGCGGGCTTGATCACCGCACCGTGGACTGAATCCATGACAGGCAGAGACTCTGGGTATGCAACAGGTCCTCCCAACTTGGGACTAGTAGGCAAAACTGTGTCGTCGAGAGAATTGGCGTGGGACATCGCAATTGTGAGGAGGGAACAAGTCCTCTCGAGGACGGATTTCGTGTGTGCAGGTCCTAATTCAGCATTCGCTATAGAATAGAAACTTTTGGAGTAAACAGAAAAAATTAAAAGACCGCAAAAAGGAGTATAGATAAAAAAGGTAGTGCTGCAACCAGCTGGTTGGAGGAGGAAGAGAAGAAAACTCGGCAGAAAATATTTTCGTGCATTTTGAGCCCCACATCTGTTTTCGGTACATTTCACCGCAGAGATTTCTGTGTATGTCATAGTCTAGTACTCCATAGTAAATAAGTTACTTTATTTCTACCTCTATGAGTTTATAGGAGACAATTTTATTTTTGCTTATGCATTAGTCTCCTCGCTTATAGGTACCTACCTAGGTCCCTAGCTAAGCATCTGCATGCATATGATATATGCCTAGGCGGTGGGCCGATAACAGTATCAGCTCTTTTGGTATTAATTAACTGTAGGTGAATATAGTTTAGTGTGTAAGTGTGTTATAGGCAAATTAGCAACTATACACAGCCATATATCTCTTATCTGAACTTATAATATCGGAATGTGGCGATTTGAGTTACCGGTATTCCCCGTCCTACCGATATGCACCACGCGTGATCTAAGTTATATGTACTCGAAAACCAGTATATGCGATAATTAACTGGCAAATCACTTATTGTTGCATACAAAGAATCGGTGCGCCTTGTGTATGTACTATGACGTGGGGAACACAGCACTAAGATAGCTCCGACTAGATCCCGCTTTTTGTCTTAACTTCAACTACCTTCACTCTGCAGTGTTTTTCTCGTTTTTTTTCTTCTCGTTCTCTTCTAACCCGCTTCCGTGATGCTCTAACACCCCTCCCTCTTGATTCGCCTCGGTTATGCAAACCGTGATCATTACCGGCCACCATGTTCGCGTCTCTGCTGCGTCCCAAACGGCAGCGCGATCCGGTTGATCAGTCGCCTTTTTCAACGCCTTCTCCATGGTCTCGTGCCCCGCGCAACAATCCACGACGCGTCAACAGATCCGGCGAAAGCAGTGAGGATGATGCGCCGGAGCTTCAAGGGATCGACGAAGAAGACATGGACGAGGACTGGGAGGGAGAGGAAGAGGAAGATGGCCCACTCGAGTCGACACCTCTCCTGCCCATGTTCTCTGCGTCGCATCTGGGTATGAAAAGTTCCCTGCTGGATACACTAGCAGATAGTAACAAGATCTAATGATTAGATGCTCTGCCCGTTTACAACATCACTCATGCTATCCGTCCCTTGATTGCCTCCCGCTGCGAAACCACTCTGACATGGGATCAACTACGCTCGCCGCAGGTCTCCCAGTTCTTGATCAAGCCCATTCTACAGAAAATCATGTCCACCCAGTTCTCACGCGCGACACTCTACGCATTGATGGCCAATTGTCTTCAATTTGAGAAGGAAATGCACCTGAGTCCGGGGAATAGCGGGGCAAATCAGACACGGGCCATGGTGAGCGAACTATTGGCGATCAAACTGTTGAGGGAATATTCGACGCGGGAATTGATTGACGCGCTGTCCTATGAGTTCCATCCGCTTCAAGGCCAGGATTCTACCACCGCATTGGCAACCGGTCCACAGCGAAAACGGGTAGTTGCTGCCCGTGTCTCATGCTTGGAGGTGGCTATTCGCGCACAGGCCAAACGATTCTTGGCCCATCCAGTGGTGGTGCAGCAATTGGAAGCTATTTGGGCTGGAACTGTTGTCTTTCACTCGGCCGCCGACAACCTACATCGCCGTGTGGATAGGAATATGGACTATGGGACATCAATGGACCAAAATGGAACCCTCGGAACAGCACCAAGCAATGGAATTCTTCGGCGCTCGGTGTCCCTCTACAATCCCCGCGACGCGTCTTTATTCAAATTGTCAAGATTGCGGGTGCCACGCTATCGACAATTTCTTTCCACGTTGTCCTATGCAGTGCTCTTAGGGCTGTTTCTAGCAGTGCTGGAACAGCGCAGCCGTAGAATCACATCACTCGAGGTTGTGTTTTGGTTCTGGAGTACTGGCTTCATGCTTGACGAAATTGTGGGGTTCAATGAACAGGGATTCGGTCTCTATCTGATGAGCTTTTGGAATTTGTTCGACTTGGGTATCCTGCTATTGCTCTTCGCGTACTATTGCTTGCGGATCTACGGTTCATTCTTGACCTACCCTAGAAGTCAACTCATCACAGATCAAGCTGTACGTATTGGTAATATGCCTCTGATATTGCTTATATACTAACTTATTTCAGTTCGATGTTCTCGCGGCGACGGCACCCTTGCTGTTCCCTCGATTATTTTCCATCTTGGATCATTATCGTTACTTCTCTCAACTGCTTATTGCATTCCGAATCATGGCATCTGATCTCATAGCAGTCTTTGTTCTTATTGTCATTGCTTGCTCCGGCTTTTTTGTCGCATTCTTAAGCTTTGGTGACAGCAACTCTCCAAAAGTGGTGGCGTATGGCTTGTTCCAAATGTTGATGGGCTTTACGCCTACTGCGTGGGCCATGTGGGATGAATACAATTTCCTAGGAAAGGCGATCCTAACGGTCTTCCTATTCATTTGTCATTTCGTTGTCGTCACAATCTTGATTACTGTTCTGACGAACTCTTTTATGAGGATTGTCCAGAATGCCAATCAAGAACATCAGTTCCTATTTGCTGTCAACACCATCTCGATGGTCAAGTCCGATGCCTTGTTCTCCTACGTGGCGCCGACAAATGTCATTGCCTGGCTGGTGACACCGTTCCGATACCTGATGCCTTTCCGAGAATTCATTCGGCTCAATCGGACCATTATTAAGATCACCCACCTACCCATTCTCTTTACAATCTGCCTCTACGAGAAGACGATTCTCAGTGCTCAAGTTGTACAGCCAATTGATCTGATCGAGCCAACAGCACCAAATGTGACTCCGGCTCCTAAGCAATGGGGGCCTAGTCGATTCCGCGGTTTTAGCAACAGGGTATCACGTATGGTACGAGAACCATCAGTGGCCACTTATCAAAAAGATCAAGCATTGGAAGAAGTATTCCGTCGGCCATACAGTGATGATCGAATTCGAGGTCCACCAAGTACTGTGCACGAACGCCAGACCAACAACGTTATCAAAGACTGGATGCAGGAAATTGGCTCAGGGCCAGCCAACGGTCCCGATGAGCAGGATTCTGTCGTTGTGGACCATCTCGAGATGAACCCACGACGACCCAAGCTTCCCTTCCGGAGTCAACTTGCCACTCGCCCTCGCAATTTTACGGAAACGACGAGGTCAGTTGCCTCAAATCCCGAAGATCGATTGAGTCGGGTTGCAAGCCCCATGATGCGGCCTCGACGCACAAGACCTGGCTCGCCTGGTCACAAACGAGCGCCCTCGCACCATACGGATATGGAGGGAGATGATGAGTTAACCAGCAATGATGGAGATTCGAATGATGGTAAACAGTCGGCCCAAGGATCCATTGGCAACTCCCTAGATCCGGCGGAGGCCTCCGAAAAGCCCTCGCCTAAGTTCTACAGCTCTCGTCCATCTACCGCGAGAATGATCTCTCGCCGCAATAGTCCAACCCGTCGTCCCAGACACAATCGCAATGCTTCTGGTGTGACTATGCTGTACAACCCTGTAGGATCCCCGAACGAAGAAACCGAAGGCCGGACTACACCTCCCCGACCTAATGCGGACTCATCCGACGAGGATCGAATCCCTGTTGTCTCGGCTTCAATGGACCAGGGCACAATGAAACGACACATCCTGGACGTTTCTCGACCTCGGAACTCCCCGCTCGCACTCAATCAGATGTCCGTCCCAGAAGTGGATAGCATCTACCTATCTGATCGACAAACAGTGACACGGCCTCGTCCCTCCCTGCTTTTCGATCTCGGTTCCGACCTAGGCGACAACAAGGCAGTAGCAGGCGGTTTAGGCGGCTTCCCCGGCGCTGTCCCGTCCAGCTTCCATACACAGCTGGGCTTCGCTGCAGGCTTGCGTCGCGATATTCCAAACCAAACCCAAGACATGCTCAGCAAGCTAGTTCTGGCCCGCATGAACAACATCGAAGAAGGATTCCGCGAAGTCATTAAAGAAGTCAAAGACCTTCGCCGCAGCGAATCCAGTCGGAGTCCTAGCCAACCGGATGAAGCTCGTGGAGCTACACGTGAGAAGAAGAAGCGCGGGGATAAGAAGGACTCGAAGAAACGGAGTCACACTTCGCCTGGGAGTTGGGCTGGCAGTGGTGGAGAACCACCCAAGGGAGAGGGACCGGGACCTGGCGATGATACATTTCCATCTACATAACTGTGCATTACACTCTGCTTTTTCATGACACCTTGTACAAACATGTAAATTGTTGGGGTGGGTGGCCTTTTGTTTTCTGATACCTGGCGCTTTAGCTTCACTGCAGATACCATCTCATTCAGCATACATGACGCGATATCACATTCACTTGTTATCTTTATCTTTTGATTCCAATTTCTCCAAGTATCAGTGTAGAAGATAGGAGCATAAGATACTTGCTCTTATAAACGGTTCATCTGAGGTGGCGCAGATTAATAAAGATGTGCTCATGCCGATGTCATTCTATTCTGTAGAACGATTGCCTACTCTAATCCTGACACTCACTATACCATCTCTCGCATATCCTTAATTATCAGTTCACCACCCTCAAGTCTTGCGGTAACCCCAGCAATATCACCCAAAATGGTTACGATGACAAGGGCCATGTCCAACGGCCGGAAACCAGTGAAGTCAGTCAAAGTCCCTGTCATTTATAGAGCCCGGATATCCTAACAGAATTCCCATAAGATCCCGAAACATCGCCCTAATGAGCATCTTCGGCGTAATCGGCGGAACATGGCTGATGTTCCGCTTCCTCGCTCCACAGCGAAGTACATTCATCACGAGAAACGAAGAGATTGCTGCATTCCGTGCAGGTGACTCAATGCAAACAGATCAAGGAGACAGACCTGCTATGCCTTCAAGAAAGGGATATCAAGTTCCTAGAGGCACCGTTTAGGGGACATTACAGTGGAGCTTGGACTTTATGCAGTGCACCCGAACCTCGTCAAGCATTTAGGGTGAGACAATGGACTATTTACATATTGTCACTCTCCATATTAGTAACAAGTTACTCAGTACTCCATATAATTTGCAGCTTTGGGCGTAATTGAATAGGTTATTCAAGAGTTTGCCACTGACTATGGTTTGACTGTTCGTAGTGGTGGTAGTCTTTCAATTGAAAATTTTGAAAGGGATTTAGATGTTTATTGCTTACCCATTTGTCTTCAAAATGGAGTCAACTTCGGAAATCTCATAGGGCCAAGTAAAGTGGAACATATTCTAGGCATCTTCTAGGCATGACATCGTGATAACGACCCACGTCAAGCCCTAACGTTATGGAAATTCCACGAATGGGGAGAAATTTTCTCTTTTTCCCTATCCATATTTTAGGAGCTTCCAAGGGTTCAATGTCTATCTTCTTTTGCCTTGCATTCCTTCACAACTACTCATAAGAAGCGCCAAAGCTCAGTGCTGATGTCACCAAGTCACGTCACGTGACCGACGAAGTGGAAGAGCCAAGATGCCCAGAAGTCTCGGCTTTGAGAAGTTTTCTGTGTCGAATTTCTTGTTTTCAGATGTTGTTCCTCTCGATTCTCAACTGAGTTGACAAGCTGGCCTCGTGATGGCTGGTGGTTTCCTTGCGTACCACGAACCTGGTAGTAAGTACAGCCATGATCCTAAGCCCTCGATACGACATACTAAAACGGAATTTAGTCGTCGAGATCTTAATTATTATCTCATTCTTTTTCTTCCTATCTTTGGCTGAATATGTCTCTGCCAAAATAATTCGTGCGGGAATCATTGGACAAATAGCAGTCGGAATTATCTATGGAAAGCCTCTAGCCGACATTCTGGAAAAACCATGGCAGGAAACGTTCCTCGCCGTTGGCTATGTTGGTTTGATCTTGATCATCTTCGAGGGTATTCAATCCTCCTTTATCACCTGGAATGGTACTAATATGTCATTATAGGCGGTCTCACTGTGCGGCTTGACCTTATGAAACAAAACTTCCTTGTCAGTTGTCTGGGAGCTGCAACAGGAGTTTGTTTTCCCATTGGGCTTTCTTATCTACTGCTATATCTTGGATATGGATATGGTCAGTCTTCTAGCACTTTTCTGATTGATATTCACCTAACTGACTGTTCATAAGGCGCGGTCGAGACATTCATCATGGGAGCCGCATTATCTGCGACTTCCCTAGGTATGTGCCAGTCACGTACTATAATAACTCGCTTTGTGTGCCCAAATGCTGACAGGGTATATCAGGAACCACTTTTGCTGTGATTTCTTCTGCTGCCAAGTCCATAGATCTTTCTCAGACTAGAGTTGGCTCAATTCTTGTCAGTGCGGCTGTGATTGATGATGTCGTGGGCCTTGTTCTGTCCAGGTAAGTAATATTTTGACTCCATTTCTTCTCTTTCTTAGTATCTTTAGTGCTAATATATCCCTCAACAGCATTATCAGTCAATTGCGCGAGCTCTCCGGTCCCGGGGCAGGCCATGTCAATCTTGGCTGGATAATTGGTCGTCCAATTGTGGCTTCTTTTGCCATGGCTATTCTCACCCCTATCCTAACAAAATGGTTCTTTGCGCCTGTGTTCCGACGATGGATTGAACACTCTTTTGCAAAATACGACCACATCTCTAATATCACCTTGATGGTCTTGGTACTATCCGCATTCATCAGTATCGCTGCATATGCGGGCACCTCTGTCCTTTTCGGGGCTTTTCTTGCTGGTACTTTCCTCACCTACTTGCCGAGCAAGCACCCCGAAGGCCCGTTCGTTGTTTTGAATCGTGAAGAAGGTGAACGCGAAGCCGACAAAAGCCCTACCTTCGTCCATACTTTTGAGTGCTATTTACTGGATGTTCAGAAGTATCTCATGGAGCCCCTGTTCTTTGCTAGTATTGGATTTGCAATTCCATTTGTGTCGCTGTGGACAGGGGAAAGGATATGGAAAGGCATCTTATACACACTTCTTATGATGTTTGCCAAGGTAAGTTAACTTTGCCTTCTACGCGCTATAGAATCCGGGTTAACCATTTACGCAGTTCGTGGTTGGGATATGGGTTCCTCTTTGGAAGTTCCTAACACCATCAAAGACACAACAAGGTCCCAAAGAGAAGGTAAACTCCCGCAAGCAAGCAGACAACTCCCCTGAAGCCGAGAATAGCAAAGGCGGTTACGGTGCCGCGTCGCTTGCTGGATTACTCCTCGGCTCAGCCATGGTGGCGCGTGGTGAGATTGGCCTTTTGATTATTGAGATTGGCTACAATGAAACATCATATGTGAGCGAGGAGGGGTTCATTACTGCCATCTGGGCTATCCTGCTCAATACCATTGTCGGACCTGTCGTCGTGGGTTGCCTTGTCAAATTCTATGGCAAGAAGATTGGAGAGGGTGAATGGGGATTACAGCGGACAGCAACAACGCGAACAGAAGAGGGCCATGTAGTATGACATACAAAGTGTTGAGCTACTCCCTTGTCGGTCTGATGATCAAATTATCGAAAGAGAGATAAAGTACAATGGACGGCTTGATGGAAATACTGTCCAATAGATCTATCCACCCAAATCTTGCTAGTTTGTATGATAGCGTTTGATCCCCGATATTTGTCGAAACTGCCTTCCTCTCCGATTCGGGTCTTCCTCGGTATCGTCTTCCACCAGACGTTCTCTGGGGAGTACAATGGCACGATCAAGCTTGTACGGCAATCCTCTGTGGCGGCCTCGTATCATCATCGCACAAACAACAAGTTTGCTAAAGACAGTAAACTCTCCACTGAGGGATGTGTTCACTGTCGGATACCCAAGACTTAGGCCGACATTTCCACTGTAAGAAGGTTAGAGGTAAATTGAATCGTGGTTAAGTGGACATGTTTGAAATGAGGCACTTACTAGGCTGAAACTACCTCGAAGAACACCGAGAAGACTGAAAAGGCCTAGGAATAAGTAATGAGTGGCACGTTCACACTTAAGAATCAGTAGCCAAGACTTACAGGAATCGAATTATCGGAAATCTTCCCTGCCTCGGCAATGCAGATAAAGAAGACTCCGATGAAAATGTACCACAAGTCGAAGGTGAGCTGGTTCTGAATGTGGGCCATGATATAGGATTGACCATTTGTTTCATCCACGTCGTTTTCTTTGGTATACACCCCCAGAGTTGTTTCTTCATAGATGTTCGACGCCCTCACGCTTATAGCGATAGGGAATACGGCCACATACATCATGACCACAAGACTGAACTGAACAGCTGGGCTGACCTCTGCCAAGTTGAATATTGCTGTTCCCGTGTGCCTTGATGAGGCCGATTGAAATATGGCAGCAAGAACGCGCGGCCCAGCAGGAAGATTGTTCACCGCAGGGTTGTTTAGATCCAACACGATGATCAAAACAACGTCAATAAAGTTCATTGCGAACAAAATTCCAAAAAGGATCCATGTGGGCCGACTTGGAAATAGCAGCGTGTAGCAACGTCGGGGATGGTCAAGCAAAAAGCTGAGTGTCTCTTTCATCGATGACTTCTCCGGGCAAATTTTGTACATGGTCCATATCGCAAGTCGTAGCAGACATGGATAACAGGTGTTTCCGGCATATGCGAGAAAGCTCATGATAATCAGTGGAAAAGTTGCATCTTGAAAGTGAATCATCGAGTCTGGTGTCAGAGTGAAGCCGAGATTGCTCACCATTGTTTGAGCGGAGTAAAATCCCCTAGACTATGTTCAGCAAGTTTGTCAATTTTTGTAAGAAGGTCAACTAACCACCACACATTGTCTTGTCCACATTCAGCAAGGTACTCGCGATACTTCGGGTCGGCATGCTGTATCCATCCCACGAGGCATATAGCACCGAAAAGGTGTATCCCAATGAAATATGCCGTGACAATTTTGAGCAAGAGTTTCAAGCTGCGGTACTCAATACCGCCGAGTCTCTCCCGGTCTTCAGAAGTCAAGTTGTAGAATTGTGAGTTCCGGCCCATGGAGGCTTGCGAGGAAATATTGGGAAGGGCCAATGCTTTGTAGGTTGGTTTTTCTTGGGTTGATCGTTGTCGGGGACTTGTATCAAAGCTTGCCGATCCACCAGGACGAAACATTATCGAAACAACACGCTCTAGTTGACGTGTGGTGGACTTCATGTTGCTAGTTGTTCGCTGGAAGGATGATGGCCCGGGGATGTTCGAGTCTGTGGGTTTCAGTTTCGTTGATCCTGCATCATCTATAAATCCGTTAGAGCAGGTCTTGTGCAAGAACAAACGAATGACTCACCACAGTCGTTGGTTTCATTCTCAATTTCCACAATGGGACTTCCTATTTGTATGATTAGAATCCAGTCCCGAGTGTCGAATATCATCCTGGTTCAAACTTGCCTCGGTCACGTTTCCATGGAGGAGGGATGTAGAGGGCCTTGGTTTGTCCATCATACTCTGGAGTCTCATCCCCAAACTGAATAGTTCTTGTGGCAAGCAGAGAGGCTGTGTGAGATGTGTGCTCCTGTTCGGTTTCCGTTGGGTTGTGTCTATCATTCATGAGCAGCTCATCCGAGAAAGGCGGTATGTAGGTGACACTGACTCTAGGTCTATTTGGTTCTCAGAGCCCAAAACAGACTCTTTCGGCTTATCTCCGGTGGATTCATAGCGAGACTCGGGCTGTCTCTTGTTGTGAAAGCCTTGCTTCTTGTCTGGCCCCGCTTCCACGTCGAAGCTGGCATTTCGTCCTTTAGGTGCTTCCGGTTCCAAAAGCGATGAGGCTATAGTATCCGCCAAAGAATCAGCATGGGGTCAGGGAGTTTGATCAGCTCGGAATAGGTTGCCTTACAGACAGCTCGGAGATGCTTTTCAAACCAGTGAAGCCTCACGATGACCACGATGATATTGACAAACCCTAAGTTGCCCAGGATTGGAATCAGGTAGATGTACACCTGTTGGTATGTTTTGAGTTCTTTGAGATCGATACTAAGCTTGTTTATCAGAACGGTGATTCAGTATCGGGGCTTTGATTTTGGGGTATAGAACGGACGTGTTGAGCCCCGACTCTGTAGAAGCACTTGCGCCGAAGAAGAAGGCGTCTATTGCTTTCATGTTTCCATAAGGGTAGATGATAACCAAGCTAAGGATACTCAAGGAAATGATCCATGCATCTGACGGTTCAACGAGTAAGCACAAAGACAAAAGGTAATTCCATCGCCGATAGGCTGTACGAACAATGCACTACGAGGAAGTTGACTGTGGGCTTCCACATGGCGGGTGTGATAGGGTTGAAAAGAATGCGCAAGGGGTGGATGTACGCAAGATCTCTCTTATATAATTTTGATCGCACAAGATCTACATTGTCAGGGTGACATATGGTATTGTTTGTGGGGTCTAAGCCACTGCGCGATATATCTACACAAATCGGATCGGCCTTGCTGCGCTTTGAGTCCCAGGAACAACCAGTGCTAACTAATACGTTATAGCGAAAAATTCGATAAATGATCCCTCACAAGGCAACTGACATCGTAGTATGCGTCAAATGTGGGTAGCATCTTCAATCAATGGTTAGATTCTACGGAGTTGTGAACCAACTTCAGTGTATGCGTATTCTCATCCTGTGATGGACTAGTAAACATTTGTAGCTTTATTCATTACAAGGCGAAATAGCTGGGTAACTGATTCTCTATGGCTCTTATCTGTCAAAATCAGAGCTCCTTCGAGAATTAGCTATTAAGACAGCTCTTGAATGTGCAGATGCGCGATATTTCTCGTCCAATCACTATCGCTTGACCAGCAATGCTTCCCGCCAGCAATCTACCTAATTCTCACAGAGTACACAAGGGGAAATTTAGAGACTTCAATACCACCTACGGAGGTAAGTCGGAGAATGAAGTTAAGGATTCGTGGAAGGAACATGGATTTGAGCCTGCCTTGAATCCGCGATATTGGTCGTTAAGATAGAAAACGAGGCCTTTACCCATCACTTTCCACTGTATTCGAAGCAGGACTATATGTTGGTTTTAGCTAGTCTTCCTCTAATTTCCGCTTCACTTTTCCAATGTTTTATTCGCTTGTTTGGCCATTTTCCACTGCTAATAGCATGAGGTACTGACCTCGACCAATCAGAGCTTTTGCGAGAGCACCTGATTGCTGACTCAGCTTTCCGCCAGCGACCTCCAGGGCTTCAGGTACTCTGTCAGGCATCGAACGGCTTTAAATACTCAGACCATAAGGTATTCTAGACTCTGCTTAGAAACCGCTGGCTTGTTTTATCCCTCGGCCGTCAATCTCTTCTCCGCTTCAACTCCAATCTCAGAGCGCGGTCACTGACATCATAACATGGCTTCATCCTCGAAGACGAGCTCTTTGCTCTAGTGAGTCCAACCAGTTACGTTGACAAGTTTCAAGCCCAGTTTTTGAAACTAACCATGCCATCTTAATTTCAGCTCCTGCGTCGCTCATCGAACCACCATCCTAGCCGAACACTCCTCGCCAGGTGCATCATCAACCTCCGCCTCGTCCCTAGCCTCCATCATCCTCCCTAAGATCACCCATGACAAGCCCCAGAAGCTCACTTTCACCCATGAGCGTCTCTTTGTCCACTACATCGCCGACTCGCCAACAGCAGGCGATGATAGCAACCGTTCAGAGCAAAGCTCACAGGCACCCCTGAGCTTCGTGGTAGTCGCGTCAGCCGAGCAAGGCCGCCGAATCCCCTTCGCCTATCTTCTGGAAATGAAACGCAATTTCCTATCCCGCTACCCACCCTCCACCACAGAATTCGCCTCGCTTCCCGCCTACGGCTGTGCTGCCTTCAACGGCGAGCTCCGCTCTCTTCTGCAGACATACAACACAGCCCCTCCAGCCGACTCACTTGCCTCAGCCAAGCGCGAAATTGACAGCGTGCGTGACATCATGACCGAGAATATCGAGCGGGTTCTAGAGCGTGGAGAGCGCATCGATTTGCTGGTTGATAAGACGGACCGGCTTGGTGGTAGTGCACATGATTTCAGAATGCGGAGCCGGGGGTTGCGGAGACGGATGTGGTGGAAGAATACCAAGTTGATGATTATGATAGTTATTGTGGTTATCTTCTTGCTATATATATTTATCGGGATGGGGTGCGGCCTTCCTGCGTGGGGAAAATGTGTTGGACACAAGCAATAAGCAAGGAACAGGCTTTTCTTTCCTAGCGTAAGGCCAGATTGCCTTGACCTTCCTGTTTCGACATTACAACAAGTGCATTCTTCTTGATTCTCGATTCTCCGGGCTTACTTCGGTTGCCTGGGTTTCTCATGAGATACGATACGGTGTTCTTCTGCTTTTCTTGCATATTTGCTTTGTCTGGTATCTTTGATATGTATATTAAAGCCATTTACTTGTACTGTGTTGCGATCGCGATGTGTTTGATTGCGGTTTGTAAGGTCGCAGGCTGGTTGAGACGATATGAAGTGTATTTTTGGCTTTGCTGGAAGAGTAGGTACTAAGTTATCTATCTATCTAGTCCAATTTATTCTTAGACTCAGTCAACAGAGGGCATAACAATAACGAGGGAAAGAGTAACGGATATTAACTAGTGAGCCTTGGAATATCTGCCCAAGGCTGCCAATATACAGTCATATAAGGGATGTATGTCCTAATTCATAAATACTCGGACCTGGATCACACAAATCCAAATTACCTGCGGGCGAATGACAATTGGGGATAAATAAACTCTGTTGTAGGAGTTAGACTCTGTTGGTTGTCCTGTGAAGCTCGATATATAATCTGGCATCAAATAGATATATTCACGTCATTTTCAATTCACACCAGACGTAAAAGATATTTTAATTACAAACTGGCCTTGAATTGTTTAATGAGCTCTTTTAACTCGAAGCCGTGGCAATAAAATTATTATTCTTCCACTGGTCCTAGGTTTCAACATGCAGAAATCAAGTATACTGGCAACCGACGAGCCCCCTGGGTTGAGGATCGTTTCCCCATGTTTGCCCCTCAATTGACTTAGCCTTTAGCCTTTTGGAGCCTCTTGGCTAGTCCAATATGTTATTCCCACAAAGTCATAACCATACGTTAAGTCAGAGGCCTAGAAAGCGGACTGCCCATAGTAAGAACAAGGAAGAGATACGAAACCTGGAAAGCATTGGCCAAAAGAATATAAGTTGATTGACGTGATGTCTCGATAAACCGCATACACCCCTGGTAATGAACAAGTCTACAGCCTACAGTCTAGACTCCATCCGGGATTGAAGAATATACCTCACTTTCAAACCCACTGCGTCCTTGCCATAAGGCTCGGAGTGAGTCTGCAAGCGAGACAGAACGATCCAGCTTCCCAGAAAGTCCTGCAATTCTCTCTACGCCGTTCGTTTACCTCGCCAACCATAGAGTCCGTCCGAAAGGAGCGGGATTGATGAGGAGATAATCTGGCGGTACTTGCAGTCCAAGTGAAAGATTGGAAACGGAAGCAAAGAAAAGTGTCGCTACGAAATCGAAGCGCAGAAAAGACCGAACGAACCGATTGAACACGAAACGAAAGGGTCGTTAAGATTGCACTGTAGCATTCGACGGAAGATCCTATATGCACAGGGAATGTGAGGAAAGAACGCCAGCCTCGCAGAGAACTGCGAGTACCAACTCCGGATGGAAGAAAAAGGAAATTTTTCATTTTTCATTCATCGCAATGCACCTGGTTTCAGAAAAGGTATATCCTGATGATTGCAGGTTGGACCTCCTTTTTTTGGAGTCCTTTAATGCACCCGCGCCGTCAAACCGCCATTGCAACATGAACCTAAACCCCACACATAAATCCCTTAAGCCGACTTGCTCTTGACAGCCTCACGACCCTTGGCGGAGCGAGCGAGGATCTCCTCACGGTCCTTGTCGAGGTGGAGCTTGGTGATGACAACGTTGGAGGCGGAGATACCGAGGGGAACGCTCTGGCCGTTGCTCTTGTCGCGGACAACGCGCTCAACGTGGATAACCCACTTGAGACGGTAGACGGAGGTGATCTTGCCCTCACGGCCCTTGTTGGAGCCACGGACGATGGTGACCTCGTCGTCCTTGCGGACGGGGATGGAGCGGACCTATCGCAGGATACTAGTTAGAATCGTCCCTGATCATGCGGGTGTCCCATATCTGTTTCCACTCTTGAAAACCCTGACTGGCCAGACCCGGATATGGAATATGGAAATATGGAAAATGTGTTTGGTGTGTACGTACTCCGTACTTCTCGCGGAGCTCCTTGGACAGACTGGCGCTCATAATGCGGCGGCGCTCGCTGGAGGGGGCCTGGAAGTGCGCCTTGCGGGACTTGCTCCGCGAAGAGGCGAGGGCTGCAAAAAACCGTCAGTATGGGATTGGCGAAATTCGAGTCGGCGAAAGAAAGGCGAAAAGGTACGCACCTTGGTTGCGAACAGTCATCTTGACGGAGCCTCCTTAAGGTGTCGTGTATGGGCTCAAGTGCACGGGTTGTCGTTGGTCGGGGAGAAGTGAATCTTTTGTGGTGGCCGAATATTGGATGTGGGTTGTGCGTCACATGATGTGCCGCTTAGGCTAGGGCTGGAAGTTGAACTGTGATTGGTGGGGGATATAGACCCACTTTGACGCGCTTTTACGACGGTCTTGGCTTGCCGCGGTCTGTTTGGGATCGTAGACGACTGCAGACTTCGGCTTGAATTGGCTGCTGTTCTGGCTTGAGCAGGAGTTCTTCCCCATACGTTTGCTCATCCCATCACCACCACATGTGATCCAGCCCTTCTGATGTGCGTCGACTCCGGGTCAATCCTCTCTCGAACCTCGGCGATGTGATACTAGTGCTTGTACAGGCTTGGACATGTCTGACGAAGACATGGACACAGCAGACTGGCAGCCGAACTTTTTTTCGAGCGACCAGATCCACGCCGACCAGGTCAACGAAAACCAAGCTGCCTACCAGAGCCAAGATGTCAACGACCGAGGCGATCCACATGGATATCAACATTCGGTCTTCCATCCGGCCTTCGACGATGCGGCTGCGCAAGCTGCGCAAGCTGCGCTCATGTACCGCCAATCGCAATCGCAGAACCCCGTTCCCTACATAAGGTCTTCAAACCCTGCAGCTGTGTCGAGGCCAAGCGGGCAACCTCCAGTCGCCTCACAGCCTATCAACTCGAACAACATCAACTGGCGTCACTACCAACATATGGGTCAACAGCAAAAACCGTGGACAGTAACTCCACAGAGCTCAGATCCCGAGATTCGCCAACCGACTCCGAATAATCAGATTCGCCTTGCTCATACCCAACAACCGAGTAAGCAGCAATACTGGTCGGCAGCCACACTACAGAGCTCAGGATACGAGAGTCGTCAGTCGATCCTGATTAATCAGAATCGACCTAACCCTTATCAACAACCGAGTCAGCAGCAATATCGGCTAACAGCAACACAGCAGAGCTCAGGCCAGAATGCTAACCACCAACCGACACCAAATAGTCAGAACCGACCTGTCTATAACCAGAACAGTTCTCATGTCCAACCACAGCCCCTGAACAACCACAATCGGCCTCCTAATAATCAAAACAGACCTCAGCCACGGTCGGCCATGTCAGGATTTTCCTCTTCACAGCAAGCAAAGGACTCTAATCACTTAATAAATTCTTCAACCTCCGGGAATGCTCCAGCCCCAGTTGCTCGGTCGGCTTCAATGGTGTCACAACCAAGCACGGACAGCGATAAACGGACTTTTTATCCTTTGCCTGCTCCGCAGTATCATCAGCAGACTCAAAGTCCTCAGACTTCAGGCCAGAACGATACGGAGGTCCAGCCGCCTGCAAAGGTACGCCGTTTAGATAATGGGTCTGGCCATGTTGCGTTTCACCAACCGGCACCAGTCAAGTCTTCGTCAAACCAGCATCTGTCAAAGGCGCTTATTGCATATAAACCTAGCCGCAAGGCAACCAAGAACCGTGAAGATCTAGTGAAGCCAATTCGCATGAGTGATGCACTGGTTAAAGAATCATATAATCCCGCTACAATTGCGCGGGATATTCTTATCGCTTCGGGAAGACATCCTACAATGAAAGGGTTGAATCATCACCTATGCGCACTGAAGGCCAATATTAGCCAAGTGGATTCCAATTCAGATCTTGCAACCTTTCGCTGGGATCTGGTGGATGTTGAACAGGATCCTAGCACTGTTCCTCCTGCAAGAACTGCCCCAGCAGGTTCTATTCCTCAACAACAGCATATTCCTCCACAAGGCCCTATTTCTGCACCGAGATCGGTTTCTCGACCAAGCCTTGTTCCCCCGCAGAATTCTGTTCCTCCATCGGGCTCTGTTCCTACGAGCAAACTTTCCCCTGCAGAGTTCATTTCCCAGAGATCTGCTCTTCCAGCGATTTCCGCTCCTCCACCTGGTGCTGTTCCTCCTGTGAGGACCCCCTCTCTGCTAGAGCCTACACAGAGATCTGTTTCCAACAGTTCTACCCCTACGCAGAGGCCTGTTCCAGGGCCTGGTGCTCCACGAGATCCCAACCCATCTTCACGTGATCACGATAATTCACCGCACGTGCCCGCGATCGCCGTACCACGTGACACACCGCCAACGTGTTCTGCCAGAATTGACGCGCGCACCCCTCCCGGAGAGTTAAGGTCTTGGGGAGCTTTACCCTTCCAACCCCCCACCTACCATTCTCCTAAACGTGCGACGGACCCCTCAAAGTTCCCCTCTGGTCTTCCTAGACTCGACCCCGTTCCCGAACCCCCTTCTTTCTCCGACCGAACAGCTCCTGTTTCCCAATCGCCGCTGCCAACACAAACAACCAAGCCAGTGCAGCCTCCACCTACGCCCGCTGAACATACCCCTAAGGTGACGCCCAATTCAGGCAAAGGCTCGCATGCCAACAAGCAGACTAAGGTGAAGTCCACCAACCCAGTCGCATCGAATCAATCAGCCCCTGTGGAGGTGGCTATTCAAGTGACACCCAAGGCCAAGTCTACGACTACGTCGCAGTCTTCGTCGAAGGCTACACCAAATTCGGTGACCACTTCAAGCCAGAATAACAATCCTAAACTTCCGCGCCCACAAGTTGTGATTCCGCCCTCGCCAGGTAAAATGCAACCAAAGAGAAAGCCCGGTCGACCTCCCAAGACCAAGAGTGGATCAGCGATGATTGAGGTTGCGATTCCCCGCACACAGCCCGTCAGTTACCTAGTCTTCCACTGCCGATGGAAGGACTGTGCCGCCGAACTTCACAACATGGACGCATTGCGATCCCACGTGTCCAAGGTGCATATCCCACACGACCTCCGTTGTCAGTGGAAAGAATGTGAGGATCAGGAACTACGGCCTGCCCAGCGTCTATTTCAACACATGGCAGACACTCATCTTGCCAAAATAGCCTGGGAACTTGGAGACGGGCCAACAGTGCCGAAAACTGGTGATTCTGCAGAGGCTAGCATTAATGTGGCTGATCCGAGCGCGCGCAAAGGCACTATGGCCTTGCCAGTTGATGAGCACCAAGTAAAGGCTTTCAGCAACGCCCATGGAACTTCCACCGAGCGATTGAAGGCTCGTGATTTGTTTCGAGCGGGTCAACAGTGGAAACAGAGAACTGGACCGGCACTAGGACCGAGTGATAGCCCTTCCTCAACACCGGAACGGCAAGCCAACCTTGACTGTGACGAGGTATGCTACATCAGCAGCGATTGACTCCCAAACTGAGATACCCTTGATTTTCGTTTTCATTTTCATTTTCGGGTGGGCATAGCATGGAGAGCAGCGTTGATTGAATCTGCATTTTAATGGCGTCTGATGATTTGCATGTTGTCCTTCATGTTTGGTTACATGATCGCCAAATTTACTGAAGAAGCATTGAAGCCATGACATTGACAATTGCCATTTGCTGGATAAATTGTAGTTGTAGTGTACAATTGGCTTGTGTCTGACTCGCTGGTAATGTAAAACAAATGTAGGCAATGGTATCTTGATTCCCCGTCTTCCCTTCAGAACAGCTATTCAATTTCTCCCTGACACGGCTGCGGTGGCTGTGGACGCGAGCGGCGCAGAGTCCTCAGCCTTCTGGCTCACTGTGTCGGCGGTGTCCTCCTCGATGGCATTGACGTCGAGGAAGTGGTATAAAACGATCATCATCATGGCGCAGGAGCCAAGGAAGATGGCGAGGCGGTAGAGGTCATCATCGGAGATCATTGTGAAAGGGGGATTCGCAGGAGGGGTGCGAATGACAGATCAAGAAATGACGTGGGATTGCGAGACCAAATGACGGTGGTCGAGAGACAAAGATTGAGATGTAATCGGAGAAGACACGTCGGCCAATAGTTCGGGTGACGCTACACAGTATGATGCGGGTTGGGTTCAGGTCCCAGAGGCGAGCTTGCCGCTTTTTATTGGTTGTCAATGAACCAATGGAGAGGAGATCGGGATTTAGAGGTGAGAGGAAGAGACAGGCACAGAGAGAGAGAGAGAGAGACAGATAGAGGAAGGGAAGTTGATAACATGGGGGAGACTGTATTGGTATGGTAAAGTACACACATTAGAAAGTGTAATGTAATTATGTATCGTACCAGCCGACGGGGGAATCCCTGCCAAGTCATGACAAAGATCCCCGCTGTGTTTGATCTCAACGGTCTCTTACTCTCACACTCTCACCCTCTTCCTCTCTTCCTCTCTTCCTCTCTCCCTCTCTTCCCTTTCCCCTCCTTTTCTCTTTCTCTCCATTCCATGCTCCCACTATGACTGAACAGACTTCTGGGAAACAAAATGGTCCCTCACCGTTGGCGTGTTTACCGTGCCGCCACAAACATCTCAAGTGCGATGGCAAAGTCCCCACTTGTGGCCGTTGCGAAGTCAATGGACAGCCTTACCAGTGCGAGTACACCAAATCTCGAAGAGGTTACAAGGGCCCATCCAAAAAGCGGCGCGCCAATCCAGAATCCCCAGAGCAGTTACCGATGGATCCCGGCATGATCAATGCCGCGGATTGGAGGAGCATGCAGGCTGGCTATGGTTATGCGCCAGCCGTTCCGCTCCTCTCGTCGGGATCAAACAGTCCCGGGTTTCAGGATCTCTCGATGTCAATGCCTCAACCTGCTCGTCCGGTTAGCGGACCGTTAACTCCGGATTCCTCCTCATCCGTTGCTAGTAGCGATGCCTACTTGATCGATATATATTATAATTATTTCCACGCCGCACACCCAATCCTGCCACCCCATCGGTACCTTAATCGCATCTACCTCCCCGTATATCTGGAACAGGTGATGAAATTCGTGGGCTCCCACTTCACCTCGGCGGCCTCCAGCGAGACATACCGCCAAACAGTGGTTGCAGTGGTGCGAGAGCAGGACCCCTCTGTGGAAAAGGTCCAAGCACTGCTCCTGCTGGCAATTGTACTGCACTCGCGCAACGAGCGTTCTGAGGCTGGCGAGTGTCTATCCGCCGCAGTGGACCTGGCATTCGAACTTGGCATGCACCAGCAAACTTTCGCAGTAATTGCTAGCAATGGGGACCCAATTCGGGCCGAGTCTCTGCGACGTACCTGGTGGGACCTGTTTGTCATCGAAGGTCTCCTGACTGCCCTTGGCGTGCAAAGTGAGTTCCGGACCAATGCAGTTCCGCTCGAAGTACCACTTCCCTGCGAGGAGCGCATCTACCAAGATTGTCTGTTTCCTCCGCCGTCACCGACCATTGAGCAATTTGATCAGCGTGTATTTGCAGATGAGGAGCTACATTTCTCCTCATACTGCTACCGAATTGAAGCCATACGGATTCTTGGTCGCGTGGTGGCGATGCAGAGCATGACCGAGGGTCAACAGGATCATGTAGAAGCCATTGATGCGCGTATTGGTAGCTGGGGTCACCACTTGCCAGAGTCCAAGGAAGAGCTCTTGCGCCCGGACGGCACGGTTGACGAGATCATGTTCCAGGCGACCATGATCTTAAACGGCGCATCCATCTACCTGAACTTCCCCCGATCTGACCTTCTCTCATCGCCCGCCGTTGCCGCAGCGGTCATCTGTGGTAGTTCGGGACCCATCAGTGTGCCCGCATTCTCCCACAACGAGCATGCCATGAAAGCAGCCAAGGCAGCTCGAGAATTATCTCGGCTTGCCTCATTCCGTCTACCGGTCATCAAACACACCCCGTTCTTCATCTGTGCCCTCACGCTCAGTTCCATCGTTCAGCTGGCCGCTTGCTCCGTCAAGGCTGGCCAGATGCCCGACCCCAGCCGCGACCGTCTGACGTTGACAATCGGCGTGTTCAAATCGCTGGCTCGCACTTGGGCTATCTCGCAGTCGATCATGCGGCAGATCAAAGCCGTTTCGCGGGATGTCATGGAGATGGGTCTCCGTCCGACGATGGCGATGGACTCGCTTTATCTGACCACGATGCTGGATAATAGTCAATTTTGGGTTGATCAGGGCCCGAGCTGAGGAAGTGAAGATAGTCACCCATCCTGATCTTCTGGTCCACGTTTCGCTGTCCCCAGACCTCCAGTTCCACAGCCTGGTGTAGAATTGGCACCCACCGAGATCACTGGGCCTTGGGGCATTTGATATGCTCACAGGCTGCGGCTGGAGTGTTCCCCCGCCCCTGACCCCTCCCTGCGGGCCCTGGTCCCCATAGGATGGGGCCCAATGGGTATAAATCTGACTCCGACGCTGACCGGGATGTTGCTGGCAAAGCGCATAGTCTGGGCATGCACTGCCGCCCACATCTACTGAAGTCACACGGCATCGGCTTCCTGGGAGCTTTTATTGGATGATCTGACAGATATGACGAATAAATACTAATCATGAAACTACTCATTGAATACCTCGTACTGCAGCTTGGCTTACTTTTCTAACCTACATATTGGCTTGGCAGTCTAGACTTAGGGCTATAAACATGTCCATATGCAATGTAGATACAGTTTTCTGTCTACACCTCTGGCTTACTGGCTTTAGGGCGATAGATAGTAATAATTCAATATAGGATTAACGTTATACAGACTTCGAAACATTTCACAATTGGGATACATCAATCCTATTTCTGCTGATTGAAATGACGAAGGAACTTCAACCGCCCAATAGCATGTATAAGATCATCATCGGTGTTGATCGCCTTATTCTCCGGTCCACCAGGCATAAGAGCCATCAACTCCTTTGCCTCTCTCAACTCCGAGTCTAGTATATCCTTGGTCTTGTATTCCGCATGTGGAATCTCATGGGAAGTGAGGGTTTCTAGATCAAATAATAATGGTTAATTCACATTGATTCCGTACTGAACACTGCGGGCGTGGTATGGTCTTACGATCTAGTTTGACAAGGTGCTCGTTGGCATCCACGATTGCAGCCCATAAAGCGCAGACTTCAGCCATGTTTCCGAATGTCTCGTTGCGGACCCAGCCTAGGAAGCTATTGAGAATGTTTGATCCTGGGTACTGTTAGTCTTTATTGTGATCTGAGGGTCGGAAGAACCTATACCTCTTTCGCCTGATGAGACTTGGAAAACAGCGGGGACTTCATTTATAGCGCGCTGGTAGTTCATTTTGCTGGTTAGGAAAGGTAGAAATGCTATAGAGAGGAGAAGAAGAGAGGCCTGCTAAATGGCCGAGAATGTCAATGGCTATAAACCTTTGGCTTCTTAAGATAAAGAAGTCAGGGAATATCAAGCACGTACGGTAATTTTACTCAGAGAAACTAACGTTACTGGAGCGAACAAAGCGCCAGGGAGTCTATACAAAGTCTATTCCTGGAACAAAGAACTCGTGTTCGAGCAGGCTAGATAACCAACCAATAGTCAAACTACTGTTAAGTTCGAAGAGCCCTGGTAATCCAACACGAGAACAAAGAAATCACACCAATGTGGTCGGGTTGGATCGGGGAACAAAGAGACAGAACCGAGCCCCGTCTCGAATCAAGTCAGGCCAGACGGCGAAGAAGAAAAAAAGAAAGGAAACTTGTAATATCAAGGCTAATTCATTATATGATCCTTGTCTACACTTTGTTCATCCGGTCTTTCTTCCGCGTTCGGCCTACGATCACACTAGATAACTACGTCTTCCCCAAGATTAGAGATCATTTGCAATGTCTCCAATCAGCGAGAAGTCTCCAAAGTTCGTGAACTATATGGAGAATGTCCCAGCGCCATATCACCATGCACAGATGGCATATAGCAGAGATGGTAGGCACAGAGCCCCGATCACCACCTCACTCCTCATATTAACAAGCCGCAGGTCTATCCTGTGCAATGATAGCCTGGATGATAGACATCGACACGCGAGCAACAACAAAGAAGCGCGAATTCCAACGCACATTTCAAAAGCTTTGCCTATATATCAAACACCTGGAGGGTGAGTCTATCATCTATCCAACCACATCTTACAAACAAACCCTAACACTAGTTAGGGATCATGAATACCAACAAGATCAGACACACTCCATATACCGCCGATGAAGCCGTCCGAAACATCAACCGTGCCAGACAAAACTTCGGATCTCTGGTCGAAGCCAAGTTTATGGACAATGCGCCCTTTCCTATCACCGCGCCTATTGATAACGAGACCGAGCTGAACAATACCGTTTCCGATGCGCAGACGTTCGAACATAGACTTCATCAATTGGAGCTGTTGCGGTATATGGAGAGATTTGATTCGGAGGCTTTGAAGGATTTTGAGGGGACGAAGAAGGGGGGGAAATCTAGAACTAGGTAGGGGGTTGGTTTCGAGTGTGCTAACAGTTGTGATATTATCGAGCTTTTGTTTTGCCATGGTTCCTATGTTGGTGTTTCTGTGATGTTTTCATGCTTCTTAGGAACAATCGCTCGTCGGAGCAAATTGGGTGGAACAATTAAATCTGATTTGGAGTTTGTGATATGAGAAATAACTTACAGATTTATAATTCTATGGAAGATTCACTGACATTCCAAATGTACAACACATGCAGACATGCAGATATGCAGCTAAAAGTGGGTGGTTCGTGTCGAGGCCAGTTCGCAAGTCTATACCCGGAAGGGAAATCTGCTCGGCCATCTCTCCGAGCACTTCGGCTTTCATGCGCCAATTGTTACTTCGCATATGATAATTGAGTCGGGAAGTTCACACACAAACCGTCTACTGCTCCATATTCTGATTTCAATCGCATATCTCGCGTACCTCTACCTCGCTGATAGCCGAGTATACCATCGGAGACACTCCGTATAGATCGGTGGAGAACAGCCAACTTAACAAGGCAGATCCTGTACTGATTGCCGATCCAACTGTCGCCCTGTCCGGCTGTCAGATTAAAACTTTTCACCATCGCATAGATCTGTGCCTTATACTTCGCATCCCATGTCCACGATATCAATATCATCATGGAGCCCGCGACGGAAGTCAGCAAGGCCGAAAAGTCAGCAGCCAGCTTAGCTGTCAATCTTATCTCCATCCCAGACGGCATCTCCACTGGAACAAGCTATCCACCCAACCTGGTAACCTGGGATGGTCCCAATGACACTGAGAACCCGCAGAACTGGTCGCGGTCGACAAAGTTCCTCAGGTCCGCAGCACCCCTAGCCGTGATCTTCTCAATAGCCTTCGCATCCAGCATCTTCGGCTCCTCATCAAGCATAACAGCCAAAGAATATGGCGTATCGGAAGAAGTAATGAGCCTCGGCGTAGCCCTCTTCGTCGCAGGCTTTGCCGTCGGCCCACTCATCTTCGCGCCCATGGCAGAAGTAGTAGGCAACGCACCTCCAATGGCCATCGCCCTAGCCGGCTGCGCCATCTTCCAAATCCCACTCGCCCTAGCCCAAGGCGTTGCCACAATCCTTGTCAGCCGGTTCCTAGCAGGAACATTCGGCGCCGGCGGGCTAGCAGTGGGATCAGGCATCCTGGCCGATATCTACGGCCCGATCACACGAGGGGTGGCAGTTGGCATGTCGGCCACAATCATGAACCTGGGCAGCATCATCGGCCCAATCGTAGGCGCATACATAGTCGAGCGATACGGCTGGCGCTGGACAGCATGGACAACACTCATCCTCTGCAGCGCAGTCGGCATATTGTGCCTAATGCTGCTACGCGAATCATCCCATAACCGCATCCTGATGCGACGTGCCGCCCGTCTTCGCCACGAAACGGGCAATGAAAAGCTGCGAGCGCAAGCCGAGATGGCATCTCTAGACCCGAAAGTGCTGCTGCGGAAGTACTGCACGAAACCAATGCGGATGTTCATCCAGGAACCAATCCTGATCGTCATGACCACCTACTTGACACTGGTATATGGATCGCTATACCTATCCTACCAGCTATTCCCACGGCAATTCCAAGGCCGAGGCTGGAGCAAGCCCGCCGCCACGCTGCCATTTATAGCCGTTGGTCTAGGCGTACTGACGGCGCTGGGACTTTTCTCGACGTTCACGATGACATGGTATAAACGGCGGTGGATGGCTGCGCAGAAAGGCTCGAATGAATCTGAATCCGTCACGCCTGCTCGTGTTGCTCCGGAGGGTAGATTGCCGCCTATGGTGTTTGGGGCTGTATTGCTGCCACCGGCTTTGTTGTGGTTTGGGTGGACGGGGGACACACATTGGGTTGCGCAGGTGATTGCGTGCTATGCGATTGGGTTGGCGCTGCAGACTATCTTTATTAGTGGTATTGTGTATATCGTTGATGTGTACCCGCTCAACACTGTGTCTGCTATTAGCATTCATGTTATGGTGCGGAGTCTGGTGTCGGCTACGTTTCCACTGTTCGAGGGGCCGATGTATGAGACGCTGCATATAAACTGGTCGGCGACATTGTTGGCTGGATTGTCGGCTATTATCATGGTGTCTCCGATATTGTTGATCATTTTTGGGTCTCGCATTCGAAGTTGGAGTCGGTTTTCTGTCGGGGGTATATAGAACATAGACAATAATGCGTAGAACTTAGAGAAGGGGGAAAAATAGCAAGGTTTCATTCAGAGAAGTCTAATGTGCTGCCTCCCAAGTGTAAAATCCAGGGGGTATCTTGAATGCGGGTGTGATGTATGAGATGGGCAAAGGGGATATCGCAGGCTATGTCAACATGTGTTTAAAGAGAGAAAATGAGCGCCAACAATGAAACAGAAAGCCAAAACTCCTTGCCTTATGCTCAAGTCGTATCGGCATTGCGTCAATCTAGAAGAAAATGAAGGAAAAGGTCATAAGACCATCAAATAACAAAGAAATGGATCAAACAGAGGAATTTAATTGCTGCGGCCACTGCTCAATTCCCGCATTTCCTGTAGGGCAACAGCTCGGCGCGCAACAACGTCTTCTCGGCGGACCACATTGCGCAGTGCTTCACTGGCCTGGATCAGGCCATCGATGCTGATAGCGTGGTTGGTCATCTGGTGATTGATGTATGTGTATAGAGCAGCGGGCGTCGAGCAAGTCGTTAACAATTGCTGCTCGTTGAGTTTAAGCAGCGCGAGTGCAACTTGGAAAAGGAACGTACTTCCACCTCCGCTGCCGGAGGCGATATCTTCGGCTACTTTGGGGGTCTTGTCATTGCTTTCCTTTGTATTGGCAGTGGGTCCGGGGCCGGTGACAGCGCTGGTCACGTTGAGACATAGGACAACATCCCATACGCGATACAGCGCCTCCGCGGAGAGACAGTCTGTAAAGACTGAAAGGAACCATTGGAAGGTGAGCGCCTCTAGTTCAATTCCCAGTTCCTCCAGGTGAGCTGAAAGCCTGGGAAGTAGCTCCGAAATGTACTGTCGCAAGACAACCTGGTCGGCCCGAGAGGCCAGCAATCCATGATCATAGTAGTGTTGGGGCAGTATGATTTCGATCATTGAAGTCAGAATCCAGAATGCATCTTCAGCAGTCGGCATGATGAGCAGTAGTGACCCAGCTATGAGGTTCATGCCCTGACAGTAGCCGACTTCAGGGTTACGACGCGAGTATGCAAGTAACACCTCTTTAAGTTTGCCGACACCAGGACCCTTGCGGAAAAAGACATTATCGGTAAGAGTGCGACGGATGTCCATGTCGATCTGTGATACGACAGATGGATCAGGCTCCGACCCACCAACACTATGGACAAGGTCATCATAGTACCCGGGGATTCGCATGGCAGAAGCGCCACTGCATTCTGACCAAGTTTTGGCGCGAAGAGCGACTGGGATACCGCCGAGTACAAGCAGCCGGAATTCGCGCCACTTTGCTCGACCAACCTTGCCCTTGTTGCCCAGACCGGCGATGCCCACAACCTCGCCATCTGCAAGTGAGGCCTCTGGCGTATCAACTGCAGCTACAGACCGGTCGGTTGCTGCAGCGGCTGCAGCTTCGCCTTCTTTTCGGCGTTCTGCGCGCACCTTGCGGAGGAATTCGTTCCATCGCACGGTTCGGTCGCGCTGCAGCGTATCGTGGAGCTCTGTCAGTTGTTCTAGCAACAGCTTCACTGGTTCAGTCTCCGCAATTGAGATCTTGGCAGCCATGTCATTTGCTTGGTCGGATGATAGGCCCGCGAACTCGGGGCTATCAGCTGTGATGGCCGATGTCGAAGCTGATGGCTGTCCGACAGAGCCAACAGACAATGCCCCGTCTTTGTCAACAGAGACAGACGAGCTGTGAGGACGATTCTCTCCTGCGGTAGTCAAGGAGATAATTGGTCCGGCAGAGGGCGTATGGGACAGAAGTTCTGTAGGGCGGGATGGAATCCTCAAATAGTCCTGCCAACGGCGGATGGAAATCGCTCCACTGTCAGGGTCGTCCGGTGAGGCAGGAGAAGAGGGTGTTGTTTCAGGGGCTGTCTGCGAAAGACTTCGGACATCAGGGTCGTCTTCCGGATCCGAAACATCAGTGCGTAGGGTACCAAGAGTCTCGCTAATACTCAAAGGGTGATTGCTGCTCTTGGACGCATTGGCTTCCCTTTGACGCTTCTTTCGACGTTGATCATAGATGAACCCAAAGCGGTCTGTAAGAAATTCACCTGGCTGAGAGTTGTTGTAAATAGGCGTGAGCGTGGGAGGCTTCGACTCCATGGGCAAGATGGCATCCATCTCGACAGGTCCGAGATTGGTAGAGCTTCGGTCTGTAGTCTCAGTTGCTGCACCCTGTGACACGCTGCCTGCTGGGTTCCGTCGCGAGGCAGGAGAGCCCATTTTGCCTTGGACGCTCATTCCACTGGCAGAGCGTACAGAAGGCATACTGGCATTGCTATTTATTCTTTTCAATGCAGCTACTGCCGACATTCCGCCTTTGCCCGAAAGAGTAGACGAAGCGCTTCGATCTCCGCCCGGGACTTTGGACAATGGCTTGTTTTGACTGGCCTCGGAATCACTTGTATCCTTGCTTGCCTGATTGCCAGCGAATAGCTTGACAGTCCACGAGCCGATCGACCTCGAGGATTTGCGCGAGTGAGTGCTTGCATCGTCCCCGTTCACTGACGGGCTGGCGATCCGCTTTGCTGGTCCACCAATTCGTGTTAGAGCATCGGGTGGTTGGAAAAGCTGCTCATCAAGAGCTTTGCGCCGCGAGGGATTGCTGGGCACTCGAAGATGCTCAGTCTCTTCATCCTCATGTTCCCCGACATCACTCATGATACTGCTAGCACGACTCGTTTTGCGACTGGTATTAGTCGAGCCGAAGATGTACTCTTGCCAACCGCGAATCGAGCTCTGGCGCTTCCGGTTGGCCTCGTTGCCATCATTCCCGCGGCCATCAGCCTCCGCTCGCTGGGCCCGGATTGTAGCTTGGAGATCAGACTGAACGTCTGTAGGTCGTGAACCCACAGTATCCTCCATAGCTTGTGACATTAGCCCATTCAACCCGGAAGAGGCCTGGCCAGCGTAATCACTATTGTGACTGCTTTCCCCATCAGAGACACGGTCACCAGGAGGATTTTCCAACTGATACAACCGACGCTCAATATCCTGATTGCTAACAGAAACCTCCCGGAGCATTCTCTTCAGCTCTCGCTCCCTTGCATCTGCACGTTGGCGGAGAGCCGAGATCTCAGCATCCCGTTGAGCCAGGTCGCGCGCGAACTGTCTCACCATCTTCACGGCCCCTGTACTGGCAATCAGACGCTCAATATGCGCATCATCGGCCAAATGCAGGGCGCCTGGGATATCCTGTGTCAGGACGGAATCGGCGAATAGGGCAGACCGGCCAGACTTGTGAGAGTCTCCAGTTGTAAGCTTCGCCAATGTCGCCTTCCGCCCCCGACCACTTCTACTTATCTCTTCTCCGTCTTCGCCAGATAATAAAGTATTTGTCAAGCCACGGGTGAGGGTGGTGGCTTTGTCGGGGGGTGAAAGGGATGGAAACGAGGTTAGATCCGTGGTTGTATTCGAGGAGCCGGAGTGGCGTTTCTGGGCTTTGGCGCGAAGCGTCTTAGCATTTCGACTCCTGCTTGAGGCGCTCGAGGCTTGGGATGACGACCGCCGCTGGGAGTGGTCGGACTCTGCCATGACTCAACGACCGGGCAATGGCGTGGACGGAGGAATCGTTGGGTAATGACTTCATGAAGGCTTTCCGCAGGCTTGCTCAAGGGTGGATTCGGGTGTTCGAGCTAAAATAGATAGTCGACTAGCTGCTGATAATTTGGCACTTCCCTGTCGCGCGTCCTTGGCGATCCCTTGAGATCGGTGGATCGGTGGAATGAAGGGAGATCGACGCGAGTTGAAGGGAGCATAAATTTCAACCCTGGAATTCCTGGAATGCAAGCTGCCAAAGGTGCACAAAGAGTTGCTATTTTGCTGTCTTTGAAACACACAAAGCTGTTGATGGCCTGGGCACATGACGTTGTTGGTCATGTGACCAATGCTTAGTTCCACGTGACCTTCTGCCTCGGCTCTCCGCATAGCCGACGCAGTGGGGAAACTGAGCTCGTATAAGTTATGAGTTAGCTACTTTACTTCTTTACATTGAATTTGATTATAGCATTCTCTATTTTCTGTTCAATTGCCTTCAGTATCGCAAATTAAACATCATGTCTGCAGCAGCAAAGCAACGTCTCCAAGCCCTCAGCAAACAGCTAGTCGAGGGCATTCCCTTCGAGGGTACATTCGAGGACATCCCCAAGATTCGCCATATTGCTGGTGATTCAGCAGGACCGTAAGTTGTCTGAATGCGTAGTTTAGTTATGTCTTCAGCCAGTCTACCGCATTATCTTGTTTAATCCATCACTCTATTTCAACTATAGCTTACACTTATACTTGCAGCCGGACAAAGGACAAGGTGGTTATTGTGACTGGTAAGCTTCATTCGTGTCATTCTAAAATGCATACGCTAATGAGAATATAGGCGCCAACTCACCCAACGGCATTGGCCGGGCCAGCGCACACCAATTCGCCAACAATGGCGCCAAAGCAGTCTATATCTGTGATTACAGCGATACCCACCTGGCAACTCACAAACGGGAAATGGAGTCCCTCTACCCAAATGTTGACATCCACGTACGATCATTTGATGCCGCAGACGAAAAGGCCCTGATAGCAGTCATCGACGAGGCAGTAGCAAAGTACGGCCGACTGGATATCTTCTTTGCCAATGCAGGCATCGTCGGCCAGCCCAAACTCTTCACCGAGATCGACGGCGACGGATTTATGAACACCATGCGTACAAACGCACTCGGGTACACCCTCCCCAATATGTCATAAAAAGTAAAATCCAAACTAACCCCCTTCCAGCGTCTTCCTAGCAGCCAAGCACGCAGCCCCAGCAATGAAACTAACATCTGCCACAAAACCCTACCCAAGCGGCTCAATCATTGGCACAGCCTCAGTAGCAGGCCTCCGCTCGAACGCCGGCTCAACAGACTACTCCGCCTCAAAAGCAGCAGTAGTCTCAATCGCCCAAACAGTCTCGTACCAACTCGCCGGCACGGGAATCCGCATTAACGCCATCTGCCCGGGATTGATCGAGACAGGCATGACGCAGACAGTATTTGATCGGGCGCGGGAACGCGGCACTGAGCGTAAGATTGGACAGTTGAATCCTATGCAGCGAGGTGCTGTTGCTGACGAGGTTGCGCGTGTTGCTCTGTTCCTTGGGTCTGATGAGGCTTCTTATGTTAATGGGCAGGCTTGGGCTGTTTGTGGCGGGTTGAGTGCTGGACATCCTGTTGTTCCTGGGAAGCTTGCATAGGTATTGAATGTGTAATCAAGCCACGGTAGATCTTAACTTCTTTTCTGGGGGGTACTTAAGGAACTAGAGCCCCGTCTTTCTTGTCTTTCCACGCTTCAAGTATTTCCTCCACCATGGACCCATTCGCTCAACTGCCCCCAGAACTGATCCAACAAATCTTCATTCATACCGGCGATTTTGCCGCTGTAGAAAATCTCAGATACTCTCAAGTCCACGCTGCCTTCCGGGCTCGACCTGCCATTATACATGACCTCATCCTGGCAAATTCTATCACTAGTCCAGAGATATAAAGGCTATGCTACAACATCAGCCTTATTCATACCTCTCATTACACTGATTTTGCCTCCTACCAACAAGCATGCGAGGGCACGCCAAACCTTGACTACAGGGCATCACTCGGCATAATCCACCTACCTGTCGGAATATAGAGCCTTGCCTGTGCATGCCTGTCGCTTATGCAATAGAACTTCGGCTCTACGCTCAGTGAGATACCAGTCGACTTACTGAGCGGACCTGAGCGGACCTAAGCGAGCAGAAAAAGCGCGCAAACCCTTTTCGTGGATTGAAGAATACCGCACGTACTAGTCCCTCTTTCATCTCCAACAATTTTCAGCTCTTCGCAAAGCTACAACAAAAAGCTGGCATTGGCCTGCCCAGTCAATACAGAATCTAGACACATACAACGTCTGAAATGAAATAAATATCGAAAACGCTGAGCAGATCTGGTCTCCGCCGCCCGTAACCGCCGGAAACGAGGCAACACTTGGCTCACAGACTGAGACCATCATGGTATTTACCTTGAACCGCACGGGCATAGCCGAGCAATATACATGATATCGGTAGATCGAGGTTTATAGTAGACTAAGTAATCTAGTTGGAGGAATGAAAGAAAGTTAAGTCCACAGAATCCATTTTCGAGTAACAAGGACCTATATAACCCTGTGAGACTATGAGATCAGCCCAGATCAAGGACTGTGGACAAGGGAAAAGTGCACGACAATGGATACACAAAAAGGAAATCTCATCTGCAGACAGTAGGCAGATGGCGAGTGCAGAGTGGGTGGCTCTCTCGGCGACACGAGACGAGCAAGTCAAAAAGCAATAAAAATAAAAAAGAAACAATCAAGCCGGTCCATCCCAGACGGCACGACAGATAAATAATAGACAGTAGATTCCCGGGTAAATAGCCCACGAGAAAGACAAAAGCGACCAGAATTATGGGACAAGAAGACAGAGAGATGGTCGGTGGATATAAGGGAGTATCAAAAGAAATCGACACGACGAAGCGAAGCAAGAAAAAAAGGAAAGCAAATAGGGAAGAAAGAGCTACGCCAGACAACCAGAGCGCAAGTGCGTATTCAGGATACAGCACAGTGAAGTAAGGAGTAAAAAAAAAAAAGAAAAAAGGAAATGGGCCACACGCCAGGCAGAAGAAACAGGGAATGGACAGAGAAGAGAAAAGAAAGCCAAACAAATAAGATCGTCTCAGTCAAGCCGTTGCATCATCTAAGCTTATACAGACAGCTGATGTTGAAACCTAGGAGATAATCCGAGCGGTGGTTGGTCGCATGAGATCCTCGCTAGCCTGCTTGGACAGAGTACCAGGCTCAGTCTGCTGGTCATCGACATTCTCAGTCTCATGGGCGTGCTCGTCGTCATCCTCGACGATACGAGTGGGGATATCGCCGGGCCCGTACTGCTGACTTGAGCGCTCGGGGAAAGTCGAGCTGCTGACCATGGACATGGAGGTGCTGGAACGGTTGTGGACCAGATCCGGGGTCGGGGGGATGCTGGAGTGTCGGTTATCCGGGTGGAGGGAGTTGTTGTCGATATCGCTCATTTCACTGGCGGCGCGGGTGGAGCGGCCCTCCTGGGTATCGTAGTCGGAGCCGAGACGGTCGGAGGTCTGGATCTTGCCCTCGGACTCTTCATCTTCGGCGTCCTGGGCCAGGTGGAGACCCTCGACGGCGGCGGCGCACTGGTCGCTGATGCTGCGGATGATGTCCGCAATGGCATCGGTCTTGTCGCGCAGGTAGCGGTCTGCGACATCTGTGATGCTCAAACGAGCAAGGGTCTTGTGATCCTTGCCGAGGTTCAGCAAATGCTGCTCTAGCGCAGGGTTCATGTCATTTACCGGAGATTTTTGACCATTGACCTCCTCGACTGTCTTGACGTGCTCCTTAGACTTGGGGGTCTCCGCCTTGCGCTCCTCAGGAGCGTCTTCGTAGCCCTGCTCGACCATTTCAGTAATCTCAGATGTGCTGCTGATGGAGCGGACGATGTGCTCCATGTGGTGGGTCTGGCCGTTGATGAGGCTGCGCAGGTGGAGGACCACGCGCTGGGCATCCTCGCGCTCACGGGAGAGAGTCGAGTTAGTGTGAGTGAGGGCGGAGATTTCCTTCTGGTTGCGCTTGCGCTCACGTTCCAGCTCCTCGGCAATCTCCTGCTGGAGAACGAGGGCCTCGAGGGCGTCGTCACGCTGCTTCTCGGTACCAGACAGACGCAGAGTGAGGCGAGCCACATCGTCCTTCTGTTGGTCGATGAGACCAGTGAGGCGACGGTTCTCACGCTTGTGGTTCTCGATCTTGACCTTGAGCTCGGTGGTTTCCTTGGTAAGCTGCTCGGCAAAGGCCTGGAACTTGAGGAATTGCTGCTTCCAGGTCTCGAGTTCCTCCACAAGGAAGTTGTTACGCTTGGTAACTTTGCTGAGCTCGGTGTCCATTCGTCCCTTGAGGTTGATAAAGTCTTGCCAGGCCTCCATGGCGTCACGGGAGTACTGGTTGCGCTCGCGAACAATCTCGTTGAGGTGACGCATCGAGACCTTGGTCATCAGGGGCTTCTTGACGGAGCCACCGAAGATGGCCTTCATACCGGTGTTGCGGCCCTATAAAAAGTTAGTTTAAACTATCGTTAGTCAAACATTGAAGAGCAAACATACCAGCTTCTCACACACATGGTCCATGACACTCATGACCGCATCCTGGTTCCACCATTGGGGCTCCTGGATGCTCTCGACCTCGCCGCGCATGACGATAATCTGACCGGCGGGGATGAGCTTACCGCCAGCATAGGCAGTGCGGAGATGAGTAGGCACACCAGAAGGCGAGACATCACCGTTCAAGGATTGCGTCATGCGGTTGATGAACTTGGTGCGCTGGCCCTGGTTTAGCACATTGGGCGGGCTGGATGTCAGGACGAAGTTGCGGTCCAGATCGACAACGAGGGCGTCGGATGGGGCATTGAACAGGGTACGACACTCGGCGGTGACACCCAGAATATAAGGACCGGGCTCCTGGACAAGGTCCTTGACGTGACGGGCGTGCACAACGGGCACGTACAGACCGCTCCACTCGTAGACGCGAACGCAGTAGCGAATGGTCTCGGCCGCCACGGTCAGCATCGCCGGGTAGTGGGAGACGAAAATGATACGGCGAGTGGGTGAGACAGCAGCCTCGATAACTCCGACGATGTTGGGGATCGACAGACAGGTGAACAGGGGCCACATGGAGAAGTTCTGGAATCCAGTCGGCGAGGAGGGGAATTGGTAGCAAAGAGCGTAGTCCTTCATATCGATGCGGACCAGATCGTTGAGACGCGGGGCCGGGAAGCTGAGGATACGGGAGACCTCCTCGGCGTGGAACAGGTTGGTGGCCTTGTTCCAGTGAATCCACATACCGCGCAGGTAATCCCCCAGCAGGTCGTACAGGGGATAGCGAGAGAGGAAGCTCAGGCAGTAGGGAATCCAGTAAGTCTCATCGGGGTTGTCGTAGAAGTCCGGCTCCGTCTTCTTGCGCAGCTCGCGGATGGTCTCCGCGCGCTTCTCATCCGCACGGGACCAGACGCGCAGCGCGATACCGTACAGAGTGTGAGAAGAGTCCTGCTGTAACACGAACGCGTGGTGTGCACAGTGAGGCTGGCTCTTACCAGTGCAGATCTCCACGTCGTGAGGGAAACATGCCCGCATGGCCGAATGCAGGGCTCGTGCGATCTCATTGTCCTGCTCTAGTCGGGGGCTGCTTCCTAGAATCTCGGGCAGCCAGAATTGACCGACAGCTCCCTTCATATGGCCAATCTTCCCCTGGGCGGGGGCTGGGGCTTTGACCCATTGTGAGGGTTCCCGCCCGACACCACACACCATGTAGGCATGGGTGAGTGTTTTCGGTGTTCGCTGGGCGGGCTTGATGTTGAGAGTAGACGGAATGGGCTGAGTGATGCGTGAGTGGAGCGACGACGTGCGGCTGGGAACGACCAGCGAATTTTCCCCTTCACCGCGCGTCGAAGGTCTATCCCGGGTGGAAGGCCGGACAAAGGAGCTGTGATCTCGCATTGAGTGGACCATTGTGTATCTCTCGGGATTGAGTCGTGTTTATATTGGGGGGTTATTTGGAGGGGGACTCCTAAGAGTCGAACGCACTACTCGAGTGCAATTCAAAGGAAGGATTTACCCAGATGAAAGAGAGGCGATAGTTAAGGGAGTGTAGAGAATTAATTGGACGTGTGAGAAGCCAAAGAGGAGGTTTAGGGGGCAAATAGGAGAGTTACGCTAAAGCCAAAGGGGGAGAGAACTCTCTCCACTTTAATTTCTTCTCTTCCTGCTCGGAGGAAGTAAGTTATATGCACTCGGACGGAGTATTTCTCTATTTTTCTGCTTTCTGCACGTAGCTTATATCCCTCTATTCCTCTATTCTTACACATGTATCTCGGCAAGTGCCTCAGTTACATCCATGTCTACAATGTGATAGATACTAGAGCCCGTACAGTTCACTGTTATACACGTTGACCGCTGGTTGTTTTCGTCCCCATATTCTTCCTCACATCTGATATGTCCATTTTTGTGCTTTTTTTTTTATGGTGTTTCACCTCAACTCTTTGTCGTGGTTCCTCCCTGATAATAGCATTCATTCGGAAATATATCCAAGTCTCAAAGTCTCGACCGTCCATCTGCAGTACAACCATATGCGGGTTCAAGCAGTGTTTTGCCTGCGGGCTGCGAGGAGCCTCGCAGTCTGTACACAGTTTGCACTGTAACCCCCCAACCCCTCAAACTGACAAATACTACTGGGTCACGATCGAGCGTGCAGTGCCGATCGCCGAAGATTTCATTTAGAAGCCGTCCCGTCACGTTGTTCTTATTGGTGTCTACCCCTGTCTCCCAGTCTCCACCGCAAGAGATTTGTGTTCGATCTTATGCAGTGTCTGGGTTACCCCTGAATTGCTGGAATGCTGGAATGTATCATGAAACAGACATTTAGCTTTCATGCCCGTCCAGTCCAGTGTCAGGTCCAGTATACGGTAACAGACGCGTTCCAGGGCTTTGTCTTCCCGTGACTCCACTACTGTCAACCCCGTCAAACCTACCATACCAAAGTAGAATTCGCCGATACACATTAAACGAATCCTATACGATAGTTTAACCCGACACTGATTCCGGTATCTCCGTCAAGCAAAAATAGCCACCGAGACTTTTAATATTGCACAAAGTACCAATTTGGAAATCCATATTAATGCATATTAACCCCTAACGTTAGCTACGGAGTACACTATGTACTGTATGTATATTAGGGAACGAGAGCATGGACTTCCGTTCCGAACACCCCGTTGGATTCAACAGGAAGATGAAGCTGTCGATCGCTCCACCCGTCCAGTGTTTCGTCTAGGTGGGTTTGGACCCACTGCCCAGCTGTCCCGGTCGTGTGGACAGGGGGTACCTGGTACCTTGGCCCATGACCTGGCTGTCGCGTGGGCCGAAGTACCCGGTACAAGCCGGATGGTTTTGTACTGAGCTATTTAGCTGTTGTGGAGGCGTTCGGCTGTGATGTACATGTCTGTCCGGATTTTGGTGTTTGGGGTCCAATACAGAGTGGTCATGGTCATCCTGTTTTGAGTTCATTTCTTTTTTAATACTTCCTGCGTGGATATACATGGACTGCACTGTAAGTCATGGGAGGGAAATATATATGTCAGCCCTGATGGAGTAGCGAAGTATTGTAAACCCCAAATCTTAGTATCTCGTTTAGAACTCAAAGACAACCCTCCTCTTACGACATCATGATATTCAAATACAGCCCTAGAATACACCTAGGAGAAAATGTAAACCATCCCAGCCCGGTCCACACTAACAATCATCCCATACGGCACCCGCAAAACCGCCACATCCTGAACAAAATCCAAATGACTCTTAAGAAGCATCTGCTGCTGGAGACTAATAACCGTACTACGTGGGGGCCTCGGACTAGCCTTCTTCGCATCACGAGAAGCACTAGCAGAGGGCAGATGTTCAGTGGTAACGAGGAGACTGGGGCCCGGCTGGGATAGCTCATAGTGCGGTTTGCCACTAGCACTACCATCCGAGACAACGTCAAGGCCACTGACGATGGAAGACAGATCGGGCCGCGCGAGGTCCCAGAAGCGGATCTTGCGGTCGCATCCTGCGGTGATAATGTACCCGCACTTCGTGCTAGAGTCTTTGTCTTCGTCCGGAGCATTGAGTCCGACGGCGAACGCCCAGATACCTAGCCGATCGCCTGCGGGGTTATTATTCGAGGGGATCCCTGCGTCAGCGCCGGTCTTCGCGAACCGACTTAGCATCCCTTCGGGGCGGTCGCCATCCACGCGCCAGGCTTCGTAGTCGGCGGGCGTGATGCGGGATGGGTGATGGGGCCGGGAGGGGTGATGGCCTCCGTTGGGGGAATTGGCGCTGCCCATCGGCGTGGCCTGGTAGACTTCACGACAGCGGAACTTCTCGATGTCCCAGACGGTGATTTCATTGCCGTGGCTGCCACTACAGGAGACACAGACCCAGCGGCCACGGGCCTTGGTCGGGTGGACCTGAATTCGGTTGATAGCGCCCCAGCCTGGAAGGCCCCAGGCCTTCAGCCGCACGCGGAAACGCAGATCCCAGAGGTCCAGAATACCATGGGTTGTGCCGACGAGTAGCCAGTGGTGTCTGCGATCGCAGCAAAAGGTGGTCAGAGCACCATGGTGGACTGGGTTTTCTAGTGTATAGATCGGCAGCATGGTCTTCATGTCCAGGGCAAGAATACGGCAGGTGTTGGTCGCAACAAGCAAGGTGGACTGCCCTTCATCGCGGAAGTGCTCCATCCAGACGGCGTACTCAACTGATCCGTCTTGAGCGACGGGCAGTTGGTATTCGCGAACGAGCTGCAGCTTGCCGTACCGGACAGCCGTCTGGCCGACTTTCTGATAATCGACTCGAACGGCATGGATGCTGCCATCAGTAGCCGCACTGATGAATGTGTAAGTATTCTCTACGAAGGTCAGAGCCTTCACGCGTGAGCCTGTCGCATGACGATGAGTTTGACGAGATCGGGGGGTCAAGTTCCTCTCGAGGCGAGTTGTGTCCCAAATCTTCACTGTGCTATCATCGGAAGCAGTCAAAAAGAAGGAGTGGTCCGGAGCGACAACGACCCGGTTGATTGCCGCGCTGTGTTCACCGAACGTCGCGACGAGATTACCCTCCGGCTTCCAGACCTTATTTGGCTCCTGGTCGGTAGCGCTGCGAATGGGTAGCCGGGTATCCAGCTCCTTCACATACGGACCCAGGTCAAACAGGTCTGTTGGGTAGTTCTCTGCAAATACATTGTCCAGCAGCCGCAAAACCGCAGGATCATTGCCGTGATAGGAATGGTTGGGTCGGTATTTCTTGGACGGGAGTTGGGCGGCCTTGCGCTCATCTGAAAGTAAGGATGTCGATGGCTGGGGGGTTCCGCCTCGGTGAACCGGTGCATCTACCTTGCCAAAGGCATTTGCAGAGCTTGTGCCGGTTTCCGCGTAGGCTTTGGCAGTCTCCTTGCGATTCAGCAGGTTGATCGCGCTGGACTTTTTGCTGACCCGATCAGACAAGCTTCTTAATTCTGGAGTATCGGCCCTAGTGGGTGTCGATGAGTCGTCTGCATCTGGGCTTTGACGACGGGTGGAATGTCTGCGATCAACATCCGAGCCTGGGGGAGAAAACGGACGAGATCTTGTGCCAGCGGCGGGCGAGGATGCCAACGGAGACGATGATAGCGACGAAGAATCATGTCCATCCAGAATAGGAATGCCTGAAGGTCGTCTTGTCTCTCTGTGAGCTTGGCTCTTGGATCGCAAGTGCTTACGATGAGCACTGGGCGCTCGTTCAATAGTCGTAGAGGCATCGAGTAAGGCATCTGCGATAGTTCTCGGTCTCGTATCATCGGCATGACCATCATTTCTGTCCAGGGATGCTCTTCGTGGCGAATCAGGGATTTCCTTGTCAAAGAACACCGTTTGAAGCTTGACTTGTTGTTTAGTCAAGCTGACAATGTCGTTTATAGGAAGCCCCGACTGGACATCAGATTCTCTCGAATGTCGTAATGAGACCCTCCAGATGTAATCCTTGAGAGCGACCAGTTTGAATTCATCTTCAGAGCCCATCCCAATGTTTCTCAACCGGGACAGCCATTGTTCATCTTCGTCATTCTTTGATTGTGCAGCCATTGTGAAAGAAGGATTCCGTTGTCCAACACGAGAACTGAAAGCTCCAGGCTCAGATAGGCCGAATGTGCCATCCCTGCTTGTTGACTTCCAGAATACACCTTTGTCGGATTTGAGGGCCCAGAAGAAAGCCATCTCATAAACACTCCGCGGCATTGGTCGTTTGAGTGCACCAAGGATTTTGGCCTCTGAAAAGTCGATGATCTGGATTTTGAGGAAGGGACGGAGGAGGGGTGCCAATATAGAATGAATGTCCGCTATTGACAGGAACTTGGCTGAGTTAACCACGAGGTTCACGGTTGCCTCTCGGATCCAGATATCTGGATGTACCAGAAATCCAACAGTGGTGTGAAGGAGATCCCATGTTGTCGAACGTTGGAACAAGCCTAGATCAGCCATGGATGCCAGAGAGCGAATCACCCTTTCCACAACAAATTCTTCAGGCTCAGTCAGGGATTGAACCATGAGTGGTAATATGTATAGCTCAAGATTGATCGTTCCCACGTAAGCCGCGACACCAACAACGGCTTTAAAAAAGGCGCATTTCAAGATCCAATCGGGATCATTCAGGTATGTGTTTAAGTGACTGAGAACGACCTCATTCGCTTTGAGATTGCCAAAGAAGACACACAAACTGGACACGGAGCCCAGGAAGGCCCGCCGAACCGATGCATCTGTATCCGTCAACAGCGCCTTCGTATGAACTTCAAAGTATTCTAAGAGATCTACCCGAGCCACGTCGTAAAGGTTGTGGTATGTTGCATCCTCAGTCCATCGCGGCTCAAACCCGACCGGTATCAATGCAGCTAGACGGGTATCTGAGCGCAATGCCTGGATCATATCTAAGAACCTCAACGAGGACTGAGCCAAAGACGCAATGCAGGATGCATATGCGGCACGGACCATGGCACTTGGATTTGTAGGTGATGTTGCAACAAACGGCTGGAGCCTGGGGAAGATGTATTCAGAGAACAAGTAGGCATTGACCGGGGAAACTACTTGAACCATTTCCAGTAGTTTTGTTAGAGTGCGGATCGCCGCAACTCTGACGGTGTCGGTCCGATCAGTCAGGAGGATCATGACGTGGGGAAGAACTCGGTCCAATTTGGCTTCATCCGACAATCTTTCTGCAAATGCTAAAAGAATATCGCAGGCTTGGGCTCGGGCCGACGCTTTGGATGTGTTTCGCAAATTAGAGACTACGAGGGTGAGAAAAATCAAAACACCCTCGTCGGTTTGTGACGGTCGTGTTGAGACCTGGGTTTCCCCATTCGGCAGGTCAAGCTTCACAGGGAGAGTGTTGCCTGTCAGCCTGGAGACTGAGGGATTAGACGGAGCTCCGGCACGGGAATTGGAACCGAGAAAGTAGGAGATCTTATCAAAATCCAAGTAGACTCGCTCAATTCTTTCATCTGCCTCGCCTCTGTTGGCTGACTCCGCGTCCATATCAGTTCGCCCGGAAGAAGGATCCGTCATAAGAGACATGTATTGGTGGAGAAAGCTGTAAAAGTATTCTGGGAACGCCTTTCCCTTCCAGAAATTGAGATATTCGTCAGCAGAATATCGGGACTCAGGTTCAAGTTGGATCATATGTAGAATCAATTCTCGAATTTCCGGGTCTTCGATTTTTGCCAGCTGGCTGTGCTGTGGGCTGTATTCTCCTTTGCGGTACTTGTACATTTGACTCAGATTGAAGATGGGAGACTCGAGGAAGAGTTCCGCAATGACACACCCAGCACTGAAGATGTCCATCGCCCAGTTGACACCGCTGTCGCTAGGCTCTTCTCCGGCAACGCAGAATCGCTCGGGGGCCAAGTAACATGTTCGTCTTCCAGAAATGTCGAAGAAAAAAGAGAAATCAGCTGGGTTGTCCTCTGGTAAAAATGTTGGTTTGAAAGATGATGAGAAGTCTGAAAGGTACAGCCAGTTCCAAGCTGTTACTAGAACGTTTTCTGTCTTGATATCGCCATGGTAGATGTCCAATGAATGACAGTCTCGAAGAGCGCACAACAGCTGAAACGCAATCCATTTTTTCTCAATGTGCTCTAAGAATGGACGTGTGCTGAGCCACTGTTAGACTTCGCTTGCAGGTATCAAAAGGACAGACATACCTCATTCGATCATATAGAGAGCTGTGGATGTACTGGCGCACGAGGTATCCACTCGTGCTGGTCTCGAGGATCCTCTGATAGCTCAATGCATTTGGCACGTCCAATAACAACTTGCGCTCCCCTGAGCTGAACGTTAGAATATCAACCTGATCAAGAGGGGTCAAAACTTACTCGTGATGGCTTTAATGTATGGCTCCAGCTCCATCGTGGGGAAAGGTTTCATGATGACCTTAATAAACACTAAGCCATTTTGTTGTCTCGCCCGAATGCTCTTCATGAACCTGCCCCCACCCATGGACTTCTCATACACCAAGTCGGACAGCTCCGGTACATCGATCCCCGCCGACCCCGCCGACAGGGTTGTGAGGGAGTAGCCTTGTCCCATGGTGTCGACTGCCCCTCATCTCCTGTAGAGACAATATTCGACCAAGAAGACCAGATGTTGAGACTTGCGATGATAAGGAAGTTTGAGGCTATGAAGTCACTGGACGCGTCAACACGTGATAAAAGGCGGTCAGCGATGCCGACAGCTCTCAGCAGCTCATTCCAAGGCTTCTTCCTCGAAACAATTCTTTGCTTAGATCTTGATTCTTGAAAGGCTTTGTTATTGCAATGATTTGTGTGCGCGCCAATTAAACATTCATTGATTAAAACGACATGAGCCTCTTATCGGAGATACCTCGGTCTTGACACCGACATACAATTCTGCCAGGAGACAACATAAAGCAGTAAAAAGGACACACTTGACAAGCTGCTTGAGAGAAATCCCAATTACGAGGTGATAGGTCTGTATCGATTTATCGGGATCTCTGATCCTGGACAATTCGCTAACGGTTGAAGTGGAGCTTCACATTGCCTACTGCCAGTGTCAACAATGGAACCACATACAGTCAGCATGGATCACACTGAGATTCCTATCATCGACACCGATGAACCCCTTTTTGATGTTCTTCCCAAGCTGTTCAAGTGAGTTTTGTCTACTTGATTCTACAACAAGACTAACAAATCCCTGTAGCTTCATCAGCATGGCTGTGGGCGATATGGCATACACATTCGAGCAAATGATGTACGGCTCCCAAGGACACCGTCTCAGACAGTTAGTCCATGCTTTAGCCGAAGATAGTCACAATCCATTCATTATTGTGGCTTTGATGTAAGCCCCTCATCGATGGACTTGCCAAGCTTGTCTCGCTAATGAATGCAGGATCCTGAAATGGGAGTTTGACACTGCTGTCGAGGACGACTGGGGCCTCAATGAAAGCCGAGGTGCAGCGTGTGAGTTCGTTGCTTGGCAATTTCTATGTCATCTGAATCAGCACGAGACAATCGAGTTTCTGCTAGAAGAGCTTCCGATCCCTCGGCGCAATTCTGCAAATTCCATCGAAGCAGAAGGAGGTACTTCTTGTTTGACATCTCGAGGTGGCACACACAATACCGAAAGCGAGTCTACGCCTCTCTTGCTAAACTCGTCCTCTTTGAGTCGTCTTTTTGGTGGCAGGGCGAGCGAAGCCGGGTCTACCGGGAACTCACAGGGCGCAAACTCGCAGGACGAGACTTACGCTGCCCAGAGATACTCCCAATTTTTCGGATTGAATGCTTTGGAGATCGCAACAATTGCCCATGCAAAGAGATTTCTAAGCCAACGAGTTGTTCAGCGAATTGTTGATGATATCTGGAATGGGGAAATCGTGTTCTGGGATTCTTTGACAGTGCATTCGACCAAGAAGCCCCAGCTTTTCAACAGAAGGTGAGACTTGAAACTGGATGAAATTAGCAGAGATGCTGACATTCGTTTAGAACAGCAGATCCATATTCACGCTTGAGGGTACCTATCTACCGCAAGGTTTTTGAAGCGGCCTTCTTCGTCTCTTTCCTTTTCCTCTACTACGCAGTCCTTGTGGAGAGGAAGCAAGATGCCGTTGGTGTTTTCGAGGCCGTAATGTACGTGTGGATTGTTGCCTTTGCGTATGACGAGCTGAGTGGGATCATCGACGCTGGGGTCGTTTTTTACCAAATGGATTTCTGGAGTCTGTGGAATATCAGCATCATCGGAGTCGGAATGGCGTTTGTCACAACTCGTGAGTCATTTGTTCGAATCTGCCTTGCGGCTCTTCACTTTTCAAGATGAGCGGCTAATGAGGGCGCCGCAGGAGTCATTGGGTTGGTCAAGGGCGATAACCCCATGATCGAACTATCATTTGACATTTTGTCTCTGGAGGCTCTATTTCTTGTGCCAAGGCATGTTATTCGTGGAGCATGCATGGTGGCGACAGGGCTGACCGGATGAACAGGATCTGCTCACTTGTGAGCTTGAACTCATACTTCGGCAGTCTAGTAAGTGGATCCTGCATGAAATACATTTCCCGAGAATGGTCAACTGATTGTGCCTGTGAATAGATACCTGTATTGAAGGAGATGGTACGATGGTCTCTCCAGGCTTCGGGGCCCAAGGCTGACCACCGAATGTTTCAGACAAAAGCGTTCTTTAGGTTCTTTCCAGTGGTTGTAGTATTGTATATTGGTGAGTGTGGCTTAGCACATGCAACCTCGAAAACAGCCATGTCTAATGGACTGCAGGGTTCCTGACGACATTTACCATGCTCGCCCGTGACCGCTTGTCTCTCGATACAATGTCACATTTATTAGTGAAGGTGTTCTTTGGGTATGGCGGTGAAATAATCCCTGTTACGCCCGTTCTTTGCTAAAATCTGTTGCAGTTCGAGCGTTCTTGGCTTAGTGGGTGCTTAGCTTTTATGATCCTTTTGAGGATGTGCACTGACGGTGGCTGAATCGATTGGATAATAGGACACCGCGTCTGAAGTAAGTCTGCGCACTAGGCGGCTGTTATGCAGTCCAAATCACAATACCCCGGAGGATTGGCAAAATGGTTGGCTGTCGCGTTTAGTTGACTGACACGCTAAAATTTAGATCTCCCCAATCTTCGGCTACGGCTTGATGTGAGCTTCCTTTGATCTTATTACGAAACCTGGCATGGTCGCATACGTTTTCAATCACGTTCTATGCGTGTGACGTTAGACCGCAGTTATGCGATGGGGTTGAGGCCCTTGAACGGGGCTCAACAACGTTTCTACATGGCGGCAAATGCATCATTCACTAACAGATATTACTTAACAGGCTTATTTTCGCATTGATGACCAATACCCTCATTCTCTCATCTTTGATCAGTTTGATGAGTATGAGTCTTGAAGGGGTATGTCTCCAACACAGGCTGTCGGGGCCGCCGTTGACTTGTGCTAGGTAATGCGTCATGCCCGAGAAGAATATCTCTTTCAGTGAGTATACATCCCAATCGCCCTGATTTTAGGGAGCAGGGCACTGCCTCTTTGGAAATTTGCTCCCGCTAATGCACCAATCAGGTTGGCGATCTATGTTCTAGAAAGCAGCAATTCTCGCCGATTGACATACTTCATGCCACCCCTGGTCAGTCAGCGTCTGATCCTTCAATGAAATGTTTCTGTGTGTTCTGAAATCTTTCCATGCTAATGCTCAGTAGAATCTTATTCCCCTGCTTTGTATCCGCCCCATGCGAATTTTCCTATCTGCGGGAACTGTTCGCCGCGTGCGCATTGTCTTACTACGGGCCACACATCTTCCGTTCGTCGCGTTGATATGGGCATATGAGTCAAAGTGGCGACATCCGCGGCGACATAACAGTCGACTCCCCCCAATGTCGGCACGCGCCTATCGTACTTCTGCAAACGAGGCGACTCTGTCCAGGTGCCAGGACCCACACCACCCCTCCGTAAGGGTAGTTGGAACAAGTCTGGGCCCTGGAAAAGAGCGCAGAGTGGATCAGCAAGCCGCGCGTGAATCTGGCATGGAGCGGAGGCAATCCCCATTTACGGACCTGATCGACACAATAGAACGACTTCGAGCTCAAGTGGATGCAATTGCCGCACGACAAGACTGATTCAGGGGCCAAAATTACTAGTACTTCGCGCCGAATTGAGGTACAAACAGCGCGGCAGGAGGGGTCACTTCCCTGGCGCTTAGGGCCACGCACGCCCCTGCAGCGCCGGACTGGCGCTAGTTGGCTTCGCGGGCTTAGTTGCGGGTTTAGCGGCACCCTGACTACTCGAAAACCGTTCGAGATGAGCATATCAACGCCGTTGGACGAATTAGACTTGTTCATTATTTTCAGGCGCTTTTTCTTTTTTACCGTTTTTACTCTTTTTTTTTCCTTTTTTCTTCTTTTATTATTTCCCCTGTCGTGTCTCAGATCCAAGTCTCCTTTTTATTATAACCATAAAAACTCGGAGCAAGTAAATAGACGGCATAGATCAAGTTCTCCGGGGCATCATTTCCTGTGGAGCTAATGTGGAGTTGCGCTATGGTATACATGAAGCCGAAGGGATCGAGCGGTTCGGAAAGCCAGATCCGCATACCGTCATGGTCACGATGGTCATAAGCACAATAGTTACCGGGCATATGTGCCAATTTGGGCATGATGTGATCAACTTCATTGTCTCCTTCTGGACCCTTCATACATGCATGTACATGCCCTGCGGCTGTGTTCATCAGTGGTCAACAATCCCTGGCATTGTACGTCGCCAAGCTAACAGCCAGAACCTCGGGCTCTCCTCATGCCTCTGTATGGCTCCTGCCTGCATGGGACACGTCGCGGTTGGGCAGACCAGCCTAACGGTGGTGAAAGAAATGGTTAGTTTGTCCCAGGACAATCATTATGCATCTATGGCATATCAGTCTACATGTACTTCCGCCCCCCTGTGAGGCTATGATCTTTCTATGACATAGTATCTCTATATTGATCTCCGGCGCTAATCCTCTGGTGTGTAAGGGCACGCTGTGCAGACCTAGGCAATCGATTTGGTCCGGATTAGCCCCGGCCGTTACTCCTCCCCACCCTTTCTTCTTCCACCGCAATTACAGACCTTTTCTTTCCAAATCTGCCTTGCCTATTGAGGCGTCAAGTCATCGAATCTTCACTGATTGTCGGTATCGATGCGGCGCAAACTCTTCTCCAATGAATCCATACCCTATTCGGTACCCTCTTAGCCACCCTCCATGTATGCTGCCGCTGTTAACCAACAGCGAGGCTGTTGACTTAAAGGCTTTGCTATATATACTCCATATCGCCAAACATTGTTCACTCTGATATAGACTGGCTTTAGTTGGTTTTGTCTACTTTTTGTTACCATTGTTGGCAGCTATCAACATGGATCGGACCCAATTAGTTCATCATGCCTTTGCCTCGCGACCCGAGGAGACACAGTCTCTCGAGACATCGTCGGCATACTCATCCCCAGTCTCGGCAATAGGATCCCAAGGAGGCTTCTCGCCAGTCGGCTTGGGAATCTCCCACTGTGGCATGGAGAATGCCTTCGGTCAAGTGAGGCTCTATACGCCATCCATGCCTGTCCCACCTGCAATGCCATCACAACTAGTTCCTGAAGCTGCTACCTACGAATTCCAATTCGAAGTTGATGACGACCGCTCCCAATACGCAATCTCCAATGGACTCCCAGATGCCTCGGAGTCTTCACTCGGCGTCTACAGCCCGACAGCCATGAGCGCGTCCCCTAGCTACAACTCCGTGGATTTAGACCCTCATCAGTGTACATTTCCCCCCAATTTTTACTCTTGGATCCAAACGCCTTGTTCGGGACCAACAACCCCATCAGAACTTGTCACCGCCGCTGTGGATAGCGGAACTGGAGAATGGGACCAGAGTTTATTCTCAAACACATGCGCCCCCGTCAACATGCCCATTCTTCCGGTCATCGATACCGCTTACCCTGCGATGCGAGAGGATATGTCGCTTGGGAGTGCCTCTGGACAGAACATGACCCCCGAGCGAATTATGACTCAGTCTCGAACAGCCTCCCCTGGGACCACGGAGATGGACTCACAATCAATCAATGGAGGCCGTTCTCCCCGCAGCAAGCTTGTCTCTGCTAGTGGTCTTGAATGTCCGATGTGTGGTGCTAAATTCACCCGACGTTCCAACTGTAAAGAACACCAAAAGGCACACGATCCTAGTTGGAAGAAGAAACACCCGTGCGAAGAGTGTGGCAAGACATTTGGCAGGATGGCAGATCTGAAAAGGCACCTAAACAGTGTGAGTCAAATGGCTTTTTCACCCACGAGCAGTCACTGATGAGTACAGGTTCATTTAGGGATCCGCCGACGGAAGTGAAGCAGACATTTGACGACCTCTTCGAGTCGACAGAATATACCTAGCTTATACAATATGTAACACCTCATTTTATCTGTGTTCATTCTTTACCCCCTAAACCTAGGCCCCCTAGCTAAAGCCCCTTAACCCCGGTCCTATTTTTTAGCCTACCCCTTAACATATCACATGTATCCCTAAAAATACAATTTAGAGCTTCCTTTACTCTGTGATAAACGAGATAGAATGTAAACACGGGACCTGTGAATTACCTTTTTAGGCTGAGCTCCCTAAAACGCTGTCATGCCACTGAAGACCCCCTTGTCCTCTCTTTCTCTCTCGCCTTTCCATTCTTCCTGCCTCTCTAATTAGCCTGCCTGAACGCGCAACTTAACTCGTACGGCATCCTACCTCCCTTGTACTCTTTTGGCAACCGTATGAACTGCTTCTGTCGGTCTACTCCGTCGGAGTCACTCTGAATTTAGAAGAAGTGCTTTTTTTATCCACTTACTCGTCGTCCATTCTGCCCAGTCGACTCGTCAGTCTCTGTATATCATCTTTATCTCCCAACTCAGGATAAAAACGGAGTACAGTATCCAACTGTGACCTTGCAGCCTTGGTATTCTCTTCTGTCCGTGGACAGTGCATCTTAACAAACCTCTCATGAAAGCCTCTGACGTTGAAGGCTGGTTGGAAAAACAATCTCTTTCCAGGGTCACTCAGCAGCGTTGGCAATGTAAGTGGTAGATACCGCGAAATCTCTCTCTTCTTGATTACATTCTCAAGATAAAGACGATCCTCTTTAAAGCTTTCGCCTTCTATCACACCATCATTATACTATCCGGGAACATCGGCGACAAACCAAGGGTTGTGGATGATAGCTGGAGCGATGCTATAGACATCAAATCCCGGTCTATAACCCTATATTTGATTCCATATATGAGATAGAGATTTGATGTAGGAAGGACGTTTCATACTTACCCTGTCAAGTGGAAATTGTCATTTATCATAATGTTATGTGCGTTTAAATCCTCATGGGCAAAGCCAACTTTAGTATATTCATCAAATTCGGCAAGATCTGGGATCATAATCAGATAGCGAATAATATCACTCCCCCTAGCAGTACCATTAAGAGTTCGCCGAAGGCCTCGATCCAGGGTTTCCATGAGCCAGGCAGAGTATAGGCAAGTTTGCTCTGGAACAGAAGGAGCAGCAGTACTCCATAGCTGCAATAGAAATTCTGCAAGGTCATCCAGTAGCTTTTGGCCATTACGTGAAGTAATCTGTTGATTCTATATTGCTAGTGGGTTTCCACTAACCCAGTCTGAAATAGCACAGGGTATTCTGGGTTAACGTAAAGGTTAGGCGCTTTAATGTCCGCATGTTGCCTCTCGATATGTCCAAATTGCCGAGCAGCACGCAGTTCAGATTTCCAATTGTTCGGATCGAGGTTGACTCAGGCTGTCCACTATACAGGGTCTTCGGAGACAATTTTGAATATGCGGTGTGAGCCCCCATGATATAGACCTTTGACAGCAAAAGAACATGGGACACCTTGGCGAAGGTGGCTAGCCTCGGAAAGTATATCTGGTGAGTATATCATGCTGGAACAGAATGAAAGTGAGAACAGGGAAATGACAGAAAGGGAGATGGTAGATTGAGGCACAAGCCCTCCAGGGCTGAGGCCAGCATCAGGATGACTAACAATGCTGGGCCTGCATGAATGTATAGAACTACAATAGTCTACATAGCACTCGAGTTGCTTCAATGATTGATTTATTGATTCGTCGGACTCACAATTCAAAGCTGAAGTTTCCCGGTATTGCATCCAGTTCTCTCATCCACATCACAAACTGTTAAAGGACAAAACTAGGCAACAGACAAGTAATGCCAGAGGAAAGGACAAAAGATATGAGATGCAAGAAACACAGAAATGGAAAAGAAAAGGGTATGTCCACCACACTCAACACCACCTTCACTTTCTCGCAATCAGCCATTACCTCGCAAGGCGAGAGTCATACTGAACAAGAGGCGCGGCCCTCTCAGCAGGGAAAGGAATACCATAATGCATGGCTCCCAGGGCATCAAACATCCGAATAAAAAGCCCAGTATCACGATCCATCTTAATCACAGCATCATCAAGCTGAATATGGCGATCAAGATAGCCGTTAACGGTATGAGCATTAGCCTCATAGAACTGGCGGGGAGTACCAGCATAAACACGAATCGTCAACGCAACATCCTTGAAAGCCTCGCACAAATCACCGATGGTAGCAGGGTCGGTAGTCCATCCGTCCCAGCCGTTGAGGACGAATATGCATTCGGTGATGGCTTCGCGGGCTTCCTGCAGCGCGGCGAACAGGTAGCGGGAGATTTTGGAGCCTCGAGAGATCTTGTTGTTGGCTGGGTGGATGATCGTCTGCATCTTGTGAGGGCGGCAGCCCAACATGCCGTACTTCTTGCGGTGCTCGGCGGCGGTCATGATCAGGGTAGAGCGGAGATACTCGTGCATCTGGGTCTGGGACAGGGTGGTGCCGAGGCCCCTGGCGTAGGGGTGGTCATTGAGGTCGTCAGCCCGGGCCATGAAGACGACCACTGGGCCTGGCAGGAGGTTTGGGTCACCCTCCATGGTGGATGAGGTTTGTATGGTTGTTGTTTGTTTTGCTTCGGATGGCTTGAGGCCTCAGAGAAAGAGAGGATAAGAGGAAAATCAAAAGAGGAAGAGAAAAGTCCGGAAGAAAAACTGCCCTTTTATATTCGATTCAGTGCCTTCTTCATTGGGATCATTAATGTGCTCAGTTGGGGGAATTGCATCGTCAACCCTGTTCCACCGGCCATATGCTACGAGCAGATCACACATCTCATAGACCCTATGTGGCAGTATTGTTTGCTACCATCTTACCGGGCTCGAATACAAAAGACTAGGAAGGTCACATACAATGCATCGATTGATGTCCTGTCGGACACTATAAAAAGGAAGACTATGAAGACAAGGGGAGACCTATATCTACCGCTTCTTGATGCTGACATCGATCTTTCCAATGCCCCAAGCAGCAACGAAGACTGTCAGCAGACCGGCGAAGATGGTGAAAGGCTTGCGAAGGGCATCCATCATGGTGTGGTCGTAGGTAACCTATAACACGTGAGTACGTGGAACGATAATACTGGAGAAAGATACATACCACCAACTTAGCGTCACGGGCTTCATCAGTCAGACTGTCAACCTCCAGGGTCAAGGTAGTCCGGCCTAGAGTATCCATGTAAGTCTTGAGAGAGCTCAAGCTAGCGTGAATCTGGTTTGCACCAGGAAGACCATTGCTAGTAGCACCCTCGATGACCTCGAAGCGAACATTGTGAGCACCCTCGGGCAGAACAACGCGCACGACAACACGCTCATACTGAATACCTTCCGCCATCTTAGGGCCCTCGATCAGAGGGACCTTCAGGACGTGAGAATCGGAGTTGACACCGGCAGCAAGACGCAGGAACGAGGCGAGGTCATTGTTCCAACCGACACGAAAGCTGTAGTTCCAGCCACCGAAGATGGGGTAGCGGGGCTTCAGCTCCAGGTTGGCGGCGTTCTTACCCTTACTAGGACGGTAGCGGCTGGTTGACACATTGCCTATGTCGTCGATGAAGTAGGGGTCAACGGAGCCGGGCAGGAGTGGGTAGGTGAGCTCACGCACGGCCGAGGTGGGCAGCTTCTGGTAGTTGGCCATGGTCCATTCGACACGCGAGAACTGGTTGGTCAGCTGCGAGCCGTTGTTGCGCAGCCAGTACCGTTCCTCGGTTGCAAGGTTTCCACCCCATTGCGAGACCTCCAAGTCACGCTCCAGGAGGTTGACAGTAATGATGGGGTTGGTGAATTCGTAGCGGACGCTGATAGGGTACTCAGTTCCCGGGGTCAGCTTGGCTGTGTCGTAGGGTCCGTAGGTGTATGTTGCACCCTTGCGCTCGGGGTCCGAGCCAGACTTGAGGCCATCGGTAATGGTGTAGTCCGGCACATTGGTGCTGGGGAACTTCACCTTGGTCTTTTGGGTGACTGTCGTGTAGGCGCTTGGTGTATAGGCCGAGAAGGAATAGGTAAGGAATTGTTTTTCGCCCTGCTGAATGGTTGCAGGAAGCGGGCTGAGAGCGGAGAGAACAGAGTAAGAGATCCCAAGGGTAATCTGAGCTTTCGGGGCCAATGGCTCTGGAAGGTGAACGACAAAGTACTGGTTGCCGCTTTTCAACTGTTAGCTGACGGATCATCAATTGCATGTCATTGACCCTCCAATTGATACTCACTTGGAAGATACAGCTTCAGTGGTATCCACCTCGAACCGTCCCTGCTCCGGTGCCTTTTTGTCCCTCACTTCGAAAGCTCCAACCTGGTCAAACACCTCGGAAGGGAAGGGGACATAGTAGTCGGTCTGCGGCTGCTTGTCGACATTCTCCACCACGACATTGATAGTTTCTCGCACAAAGCCCTTTTCCAAGTTGGTATTCCGGACCAAGTTTGTGTTTTTGAAGACCTGTGGGGGCTTGAAGTCGGAGGGAAGATCCAGTCGACTCGGCGTGGTGAGGTCGGTTGCGGCGCACAGGCTGGGCGCAAGTAGCCCGAGCACCGTGGCGGTGAAAACCCTCATGATGACTATCCGGAGGACAATATTGCTCCGTAACGCAAAAAGCAGGAAATCCGGATGTGAACGTGTGTTGTCGATGGAGGATGCGAAGCTGATGAGGTGTCCCCAATGTATACGTACGGTTGGCGTAGCGGCCATCGCGCGCACTCCGGCTTATCGATAACAGCTTCTCCTCTTTACTTCTACTCTGCTTCTGCTTCTGCTTCTGCTTCTGCTTCTGTTTCTTGCTCTTGCTTTGCAGAGTTACTCTGACTGCATTTCATTTCAGAGTAGTCATGCTGTCAAGCTCAGTGCTCGCTTCGCGGGCTGCTTTCAAGTCCAACCTTTTGAAAGGAGCTCGCCTGTCGCGTGCTCGCTACCATGACTTCGCTCAGAGCAAGTTCTTCAAGGTGTCAGAAGAGGTACGAGATGCAGTTGCTACAGGCAAACCAGTTGTCTCACTCGAGACGACCATCTATACACATGGTGAGTCCTTACATGTCCTGGGGATGGACATGTCCGCTCAAAACCGGGGAAACATTGGCTGATCACTTGCAGGCTTCCCATATCCCGATAACATTGCTCTAGCTGCATTGTTGGAGTCTGTTGTCAGGGCTAATGGCGGTGTTCCTGCAACTGTGGGCATCGTCGGTGGTGTGGCCAAGGTTGGTCTCAATGCGGAAGAACTCATCGAGCTGGCCTCGACGGCGGAGAAGAAGAGCGCTTTGAAAGTGTCTCGCAGGGATCTGGGATATATCTGTGGCTTGGTTCGTTCCTTCCTTCATATCTAAAGAGCTTGAACTAATCTTGTTTAGGGCCTGGCTGGCAAGAAATTGCACGGCGGTACTACGATCTCTGGCACTATGATTCTCTCAGAGCTAGCTGGTATCAAGATCTTTGGTACCGGTGGACTAGGTAATTTCCATCTTTGGGGCCAATTTGTCGATATCTAACCATTCTCAGGTGGCGTGCATCGCGGAGGAGAAAACTCCATGGACATTTCTGGTAGGAATGCACAACATGACCAGCGCAGGATCCATTACTGACAAAATGTTATAGCGGATCTTACCGAGCTGGGACGAACCCCAGTGACAGTCATCAGCTCTGGATGCAAGAGTTTCTTGGATATTCCTCGAACCCTTGAATACCTCGAGACGGAGGGCGTCTGCGTTGGTACTTTTGCAGATGGCCGAGAAGGCCCTGTCGACTTCCCTGCCTTCTTCACCCGAGAGAGTGGAATCCGGAGCCCGAAGGTTATCCAAAATGAAGCCGAAGCTGCCGCTATAGTTTGTAAGTCTGCTTCTTATTCGCTGGTATGCAAACATGTTAACGGAACCACAGATGCGCAATCGAAGCTCCCAGTATCCTCTGGAATCCATTTCGCCAACCCTGTCCCTTTGGAGTACTCAATTCCCAAGGCCGATATGGATCTCGTCATTGAAGAGGCTGTCCGTCTTGCCGATGTAGAGGGCTACCACGGCAGTGACAACACACCCTTTGTACTCGCCAAGATCAAGGAATTGAGCGGTGGGAAGAGTATAGCGGCAAATCGTGCTTTGATCGAGTCAAATGCCAAACGCGCAACCCTCGTAGCCGTGGAACTTGCCAAACTCGAGCAGTCTGACCGAGCAGAGGATCGGTGAGTTCATGTCTAGCCACGAGATACGAGATACGAGATACAAGATACAATCAATGCTAAGTTCGGAGATCCTATTCCCTATAGACACATGCCAGCAATCCCAGGCGTAGTCTCGCCAGTTCCAGATATCCCTCAACAGGATATTCCCAAACAAATCAACTCAACTCCGACCCCGATTGAAAAAGCGGACGTTATTGTCGCCGGCTCCCTCGCCATCGACCTATCCTGCGACTACACCCCCTTCGGCGACGAACTAACCCAAGTCGCACCAGTTCCACACACCTCCAACCCAGCAGTAATAGCTCAAAGCCTCGGTGGCGTCGGCCACAACGTCGCCGTAGCAGCCAACTACGTCGGCAGCTCAGTAATCTTCTGCAGCGTGGTCGCAGACGACCTGAGCGGACGCGCGGCCCTTTCAACTCTGGAAAAAGAAGGCCTAACCACAACCGGCGTCTCCGTCCTCCCCGCAACACCTGGCACACGCACAGCGCAGTACATCTCCATAAACGACATCAAAAAGGACCTCCTAGTAGCCATGGCCGACATGGGCATCGTGGAGCTCCCAGAATCCCAACTCGACTTCGACGGATTCTGGGAACCGCTCATCGAGCGTACGAAGCCAAAATGGGTCGTTATCGATGCGAACTGGCGGCCTGAAGTGATGGCAAAGTGGAGCGCCGTTGCGCGCAAGCACGGAGCCCGCGTGGCATTCGAGCCTGTCTCCACAGCCAAGGCCCGCCGTCTTTTCGGTGGCGATGCCAGTGGCACTGGTGCTACCATTGGACCCAAGCATACAGTACCTGATAATGCTATTAGCCTGGCTTCTCCGAATAAGCTAGAGTTAGCTGCTATGTTCACCGCTGCACGCGAGGCCCAGCTATTCGAGTCGACCGGGTGGTGGCATGTCATCGATTCAATGAATATGAGTCCAGCGGGCTCGCGAGAGCGACTTGTTGCGTTGACTTCGCTGGCGCTTGTGGACGAGGGTCTTCCGCAGCAGACTATTCAGCTGCTTCCATTCATTCCTTGTATTATTACCAAGCTTGGTGGAGCGGGTGCTCTTCTCACGCAGCTTTTGCCGCCGGGTGATCCGCGTCTTACGGATCCGGAGTCTGCGCCTTATATCCTGGCGCGCTCGCATGTTGATTCAGATGTGCCATTTGGAGGTGTTTATATGCGGCTCTTCTCGCCGGCTACTATTCTTGGTGCTCAGGATATCGTCAGTGTTAACGCAGCTGGTGATACGTTGCTTGGTGTTGTGGTGGCTGGTCTGGCGAAGGGTGAGACTGCGCGCATTGAGGATATTATTCCTATTGCTCAAGAGGCAAGTCGGAAGACACTCGCTAGTGCAGGAGGTGTTAGCAAGGATCTAGTGGAGTTGCGAACTACATTAGGGCTGTAGGAGTGGCTAGGTTGTATGCATATATTTGATAGCGTTTCTTTATATCCCAAGCGGAAAAGTCATCTAACTGAGATATTATGTATTCAAGAAGTCATAAATGAGTTGACATTGACCTGTACCAGTTGAGCTGGTCTATTGAATTGCAACAGGCTGTACTGCCCGCGGCAGAAGTCCCGGATCCAACATTCCAGATTGCACCAGCACACTCGCCTGGTCCCAATATAGACTCTGGCGTGTAATCTGACCTGCACAGAAACTCGCAACCACAATAATCACGACCTGGATATCTCGACCTGTAGGTGCAATACCAGGTAACAACCAGGGTATCTCGGCAGTATGCCGACAAGAAAACTGAATCTCATCAACAATCCGATCGGAGCCCACAGTCCTGCTCAAAAGACGAATTTCCTGATCCTCCGGGCCATTAGGAATAAAAGTCTGAGTAAAGAAAGACCTCAGACTCGAGATGTCGGAAGCTAAACCCGTCAGCATAGCCCTAACCCACCACAAGAAAATCGAAACTCACCACCAGCAAACGTAGGAAGACAAGTAACAGCCGACTCCCCAACAGGGCAACCAACCTCACCAGCGTGACTAGCAGCGAGCAACTCAACCGGTGGCTCAACATGCCTATGATTCCCCAACCTCCGCTCATCGACCTCATCACAAATCCGATCCCAATACTCCTCCCAAACAGTCTCAATATCAACAACGGCCCAATGACTCCCAACTCCAAAAGCCCTCTTCAAGCACCCCAAAACCCGACTCCAAGCCAACTGCAACCCAACCTCATCCTCATAAGTAATATCTATCTCCTCATCCCCCTCTCCAACCCTCTCATCGCCAATTTCCTTCTCCGCAAAGCCGGCCGTACACCCAGGATACGAGTAGACGTGGCATCTATGCCGTTTCTTATATGTGACATCACCCTCTGATGCACTGAGGTTAATCCACGGCCACAGGGCGCAGGGTTGGACTCGTGGGCCAGGCAGGTGAATCTGAATAGGGAGGAAAGTAGCCTTAGGACCAGGCTCGAAAATCGTTGTTATATCTGAGCAGTCTGGCGGTTCACAGTTTTCTTTGCGTTTGTAGGTGTATTGGTCTGTTGAGGGGAGGGGGGAGTATGCTATCAATGCACACAGACGTGGGAAAGGGTTTGTATTGCTTGCTGTTTGATGGTGCGAGGATAGGAGGAGGTAAGCTGGTCGGTGGTAGGCTTGGTAGAGAGGATTAGTCTTAAAGGAAGCGGTAATATCTAGAGAGATGGATGTACATACCGACAATCGCAAACCGCTCCCCAGTCTCGAGCTCATCTTCCTTCAGATGCACGGCATTCTCAAGTGCCTTGCGATCCTTATCTACATCACCACACCCCGTGAAAGGGAGATAAGTCACATCGAACCCCTCGGCTTTAAAACGCTGGATGATATGCGGGTCAAATTCCGCAGTATCAGAGACAATAATGAGGTATCGACGCGAGGGCTCTTCGTAGCGCCGACCGCGTTTTCCGGAGCTTGTGCTGACCGTTCGCTGTAATCCATGTGGATGGGGTATTGCGGAATTGGGTCCTGTTGTCTCTGCTTGCTCTGTTGGGTTGCTGCCGGAGCTCCGGGCTCGGCGTCTAGTGAAGCGTTGGAAGACGTTTACCATTGTGGGTGGTGTATGTGATATATTGGTAGAATGGTGGTATACAGGGACGTTCAGCCCTACTTAAGGCTGAAAAAGTCTTGGTATTACATATGTCAAGAAGTGGAAAGTTGATTGCCTGGGATGCCAATGTGCCAATGCTTAGGGTTTCTTGGTGTGACGTCGACGATGTCACATTCCGATAAGATAGTAGAATGCGGAAGTATGAGCAGAGAAGTATATAACTAGGTATGTAGGGATGAGGATTGTATATCTAATCTATTATTTGCTAGGGAGAAAACAATGCAGACTCATCTTACTATCCTTAAATGGCATGGGCTTCACTCCACCATTACTCAAAACTCACCAACCACTCCCGATCCTCACGAACCTTTCCAGTCGCCTTCCCATCATCAACAATATAACACTTATAAGAATCACGCAATAGACTCTCCCGCGCGACTTCACAATCCACCCGAATATCCTCAACAAGCGCCTCCAACGAAACATAATCAAACTCAGGACGAATATAACCAAGAATCAACAGATTAAGCTTCGTCGTATAGAAATCCGGCAAGCGGTTGAACTTAGTCTGTCCTGCAGCCGCAGCTGTTGGCGAGGGTTCAGTGAGAGGGGGCATGATATGGATTTCCTATACAGGGTTAGCAATATATCCAGATACAACGAGGCAACATAACCGAATCCATGGATATAGCAGGATATAAGATATTATAGGTATGTTATTTATAACGTACCACCGAGCGCACAGTATTTTTGTAGAAAGGATTATATCCAATACTCAAAACAGCAGGGAGAATGACCGCCTCCGAAGTCGAGGACTCGGACTCATGTTGATACGTCTTAGGGTCTAGCGCAACGACGCCGTAGTAGACACCCGATGTTAACTCTGGGTGTTTTTCGGATAGATCATCGGCGGGGATATTGGCAGTAGGGATTCCTAGCTGTAGATGGTGGAGTAAGAGTCAGTTATATGGTCACTAGAATAGGTATATCTTATCATATGCGCCAAACGCATAGGGACGGCGGATACAGAGGCGAGGTTATGACTTACGTCTTTGCTGCCGCGTCCGAATCCTTTAATTACTGGGCCGGACAATCGGACAGGGTAGGGAGCCTCTGGGCCTGCATCGGGGCCAGCAACGGGGTCGCGCGGCTTGTCGGGGCGCATGGTGGATTGTGTCGGTAGGAAGGGAGGAGATGATATTGAGGGTGCAGGTCAGAGATGATGTTGTTTAGCTTTGACGGATTGTATTTGTGTCAATGAGTGAGACTTGTCGAGGTAACATCGATGGTGGGGGTTATCGTGATAAGTTAACTAACTTAAAAAACTGTCGCCTTACATATCAGGTGTCGACCATCATGTCTTACCTTGGATATATAGTCTCCCTTCGATACTGCATTTATAGTCAGATATACTCTAGTCAAGGTACTTATTACTCTGATCAAAGCTAGGGCTCGAGATCACAAGTGACCTCTCTCAATATCATGGCATTAATGCTCCATACAGTAATCCTATCCCAAAGATATCATTTTTTTTTCCCTTTTGAGCGCCGCAAGAAAACAGAAAGAAAGCATATCGACAATCCCCGGAAATCAGTTCCAGGGACTCAAACAACATATATACGGGAACAAAGAACAGACAACAAGAATCTCAGACAAGAACCAGGCATTGGAAGAAGAAAACCAGGATCAGGGGAATCATACGGTCCCAGGGTCAGGAAATATGTACCGGAGTAGAAGCGACAAGAAAACGTGCAAAAAGAAGAAAGACAAGCGCAAAGTGACAACCTTGTCGAGGGTATGAAAGTCTGAAGTGTAACAGAAACGACAAAACCGATAATAGACAAGAAATCAAATGCATGGCAGGAACTATGAATAGGTTAGCATCAGATCACATCAAGCTACACGATCCATGGATGGTACTCACATTCATCACAATAAGCATCGGAATGTCGAATACATCTCGCTTGACTGTCCAGCAGTACGCGCATTCGACCTTTCCATCCTTCAATCCAAGCTGGTTCATACCAGCCTCGCCGGCAATGCCACCCTTGCGAAGATGGCTATTCCACTTGCCGTGATCATCAGATTGAGCAACCTCCATATCCTCCTTCGTCTTGTATTTGAGTAGCTTGCACTTCGTCATGACACTACCGCGAGAGTCGCCGAATGCCAGACGGGCAAAGTCTTCATAGAACTCTACGACGCTGTCATCGTCGAGGAGTTCGGCCAGGAATACTGGTTGGGGACGTCCACCCTGGTTTTCTAATGTTGAGCTGCGCGGTGTGAAGCTGCCGCGGGATGTTGTCCCTGATTGTGGCACGCCTCCACCCGTGTTGACGTTGAGGTTGGCTTCTTTGCCCAGGAGTACGTCTTTCTTCCAGCCGGTTAGGATGCTGAATTCTTTGCCCACGGCAGCAATCTCGCCGGTGCGCCGGCAGACGATGGTCGGTGTGCCGCATGCATTGATGAAGTCTTCGTATTCCCAGAGTGTACGCTGGAAGCACTTCTCCATGAAGATAAGGTCATCGCGATTAAGAGTTTTAGTGGTTGCGATAAAGGACGGTCGGATAGATGCGAGGGCCTTGGCGATCCGCACAGTCTTTTGCGGTGAGAAGCGCCGTTGGATGAAAGCAGTGAGGTTGTGGAAACCACTTGTGTAAGCATATGGCTCCTTCACACTCTCGTATATTGAAGAAGGATTGCGGTGACGCCGTTTAGTGCCGACCTGCAGGTTCGGGTGTTTCAGGATCGAAGCTGAAGTCACCTGGCGTTGTCCATTCGGCACCAGGCTGTTGGACTTGCTAGCAGAAGGAACATTGTTGAACGTGCCATCCTCAAAGCCGGATGCAATGTTCGGACTTGGGGCCGAACCAGGACTTGTAAAGTTGGCAGGGCCACTTTCGATCGCAAACGCATGTGGCGCACTTGCTTTCATGTGTTCGGGGAGCATGCCGTTCTGGCCATACACACCGCCAACATTCACATGTTGGCCCGAGGCCGGCCCAGTCGACCATTCGTTTAGGAGAGGATCGCCAAACATGAATGGCTGTTGGTTCCCCGGGCTTTCCCCAAACCCAGGAGCTGGTGTGGAGAACTGGGCTGATCCACTGCGGCCGATCGACCCTCGCTGTCCTACGGAATCAGTCGGAGAGTCTCCAGCCCCAGTGGCCATGTGCCCGAGCATGCCAAATTCCAAGGCACCATAACGGTTTTCGAAGTTCATGCTTGATAGGTCAAAATTAAAGAGGGCCGGGTCGCTAGGGTCGAAGAATGGTCCTGCCAAGGGATTCGGGTTCGGGGGTTGACTGGTATCCCCAGGGAGAGCAGTGTTTGGAGTAGGTTGCTGGTTCACGGCAGATGAAAGGCTAGGAGTTCGACCATCGGTGTTGGTCTTCATGTTGAAAGTAGGCGACACGGGGGATTGTGTGGTGAAGGGACTTTGACTCATAGGAGGATCTTGGTATACATTGTAACCCGGTTGTGGCGGCGTCGGGTAGAAGTTGTTATTGGAAGAATTCGTTTGTTGTTGGTTGCTGCTGGCTGCGTTTGAGCCATTTCTAGACATGGGCAGATTATTGCGGAGCGTATTGTTGTAAAGGTTGTTACCGCTAACAGCTGGCATTAACGCTCCATCTGGAGCATCGTGAAGGTACTTGGCCTTCTTGCGAACGCCGTCATGGCATGCGTCTTGAAGGCCACGCTTTATACAGCGTTGGCACGGTCGTTCGTCGCCTAAAAAGCAAATATTAGTGTCTTGCCCAATAGACACTGCAATCGATCTATGATCATACCGCAAGTCAAATGAGCCCGTTGGCATGCAAAGCAAGCTCGGCGGGCCTTCTTGCGTCGCGGTCGCGACGGGTCCTTTGCATTGGCAGCTTTGCGGCTCTCCGCCTTGTTATCGCCATTAGACTTGGTCTTTACAGAATCCATATGCTCAGAATATTCGGTAACATCAGCGGAGTCCTGATCCCCTTGATCGCCTACCGGGGAGTCGTTTTTGGCTTCCACGTTCATTTCGGCATGTATCCCGAGGCGGTCGGTTCCAGAAAATCGTCCCAAAATTGACGACTGTCGATATCTCAATGCGCGTCGGCCACTACCAGTGCCTGGTGTTGATCTAGAGAGCAAGACGTGGTGGCGACACTACCAATACCATCCGCGCTTCGATCTCGGCGGGCGAGCGGATCCACGTGCGCGATATCGTGCTCGGCGAGTGCAAGACGCAAGAACCACGATCGCAAAGTGCCTATCGATCTTGTTGAAACTGCAAATCCACCCAGACTCCCTCTCGGTCCGGTCCTCGGTTCCTATAATCGCGCGTTTGCGACTCTGGCTGGTGGTCGTTCAGTAGCGAAATCGGCAGAATGGCGAGTCGAGTTACGGATGTAACGGGGGACAATCGACTGGGAATGCGAATGAACGGTGATCTGACACATTGAAGGGTTTTCAATGTGGAATGCGAGAAATTGGCGCAAGCTGACAGCAGAAAATGCCGCAACGGTTCGCGCGTGGAGTGGAGAGGTCGATGACTTGGCTGCGGGGGAGGCGGCAATAACTCTCCAAATGGGAGAGCAGTTGTATACCGATCTCAGTCGGATCTCTTAGTCGGATCGGAGAGCCGGTGGAAAAATGAGGAGAAAGTGCAGCTCAAAAGGCAGATATGCGCGGGGAAGTAAGTGGATGACTCTGTTCCCGTGACTGGGGTCCAGGTACTCCCAGTCCAATTGCCAAAGACTCGCGTGAGCAACAAGGATGGGATTTTTATTAAGAATTAATGTGATTTTAGTGATTTAGGGTCAGTTTCGCACTTTCGAAACTCCAGGGCTGAATATACTTCGTAATAGCCAGCCCTTTTTACCTAATTATAATGTAATCTAAATGTTGCTACCCAACCTACCGTTCAAATATTATCTCTACAATATCATCTACACGCCTATATCATGTAAACTGGATATAATACTCCGTCCATGTATGTACGTCTATCCCTCACATGCTGACGTTTGGCAGTTCGGCCACTGGACGAGAGCCGGCAGTCAACCCGATGGTAATACTGTTTCCGTCCCAATGCCGGGAAACAGGTAATTATGGCGCGTCATTAATCTCTGATTGGCCAGAATACAATACAACATAGATCTCATTCAATACCATACAAAGCAGCGGAAGACCGTAACCCCGCGAGGCAATAGCGCACGTGCAGAGGGCGATTGTATACCCGGCGAGCAGCACAGAGAAGGCTTCACTTCGAACTATTTTTCAGGTATTCTATGCTTCACGGTATGCCGAATTGCATCTCCACTTTGGACTTTTCCAGTTCATACTTTTCATTCCGGAATCCTCCTCCGGTCCCGTTTTGTTCCGAGGCTGAGAGCTGCCGAGGCTAGAGCTCAGCTTGGACCAGTATATCATACCCGAAAAGAGAGATTGGTAGCAGTAGATGGTCGGTTGGGGATGATTGCCTGTGAAGGGTATCCAAGACCACATGATGCTCGCATCCTTCACAACTGGCCCGACTGGGGTGGCCGTCGGATAAGATAAATTGGAGTCTGGGCTAAGCTTGTAATGCAAAGGCATTGGTCGAGATGATCTATTTAGTTCTAGGGTTTGAAGGAATGAGTATCAAAAGCGTAATAGTCTAGTCCATTAAACTCTAGACAGATAGAAACTGTATCGATAAAGGGAAGCACATCCTTGCTTCTCACGCGTATGCATTTTCATTGTCCTCTGCATTATTTTTCCAACTGCAGGCGGTACAGCAGCTGAAGGCGTTGGGTCTTCTACCTAGGATTACGGGCTAGCTGCTAACCCTTCTATTCCCAGTGGCCAACCCCTCAGCCCGAGAACTTCCCAACATTTAGTCATGGGGTGCGAGGAAGTGCCCACGAGACAGATCCAGGCGAGACTGGCAAAGGGTTGAGATGCAATGGCACCGAGGATGAACCTGTGGCTGCCCTCGTAGAGGGTGATTCAGCCAGCAACCAATCTTGATTGGGATTAAGTGTGTATCAGAGAGCGGACTCTATCATCAGTTCGCCTTTCCTTCGCCGTTTTGAAGGTTTTAGCTATTATTGTAGATGGTGGATATTGATCACATCTGTGACGTTGCGAACCGGCTCTTCTTTCGGATCCGGCTGCCATACTTGTAAAAGAGGTACCTGGCATGGATGTTAGTACAAGGTTCATTCTACCCTTTCGATTGCCTGCCACATGCAGGCGAAATATCCAAATTCCATGTTTGGGGCAATATCACTCGAGGTCGTCCACGATGCAGGGGGAAAGTAAGATGGGTCATAGCGTAGCAGACAATCAGGGGGGTAGTTCATAGTCGAATCAGCACTTACGGGAATGGGGCCATGACAAGGGTCAGGAACGCGAGCAAGGAAGTCGCCCAGTGATATCCTAGGTTGTTATACACTGCATGGCCGTTAGATATTATCCTTTTACTAAGACAGAGTTGTAGCGCTTAAGCATTGAACAAGAGCTCCCAAGCGGGCTGTTCAACGTAATGCATCAACCCGCAGCTGGAACTGCATTCAAAGCACGGGTACTCAAGTCTTATCGCGACATGAAAGTATTGCAGGCAAACTTACTTTGGATTCCAAATAGAGGGAAAATACCTCCAAATGACGACCGAGTGAAGCTGTTCGCTGCCAGAGCGCTGGCGGCAAATGTTGGATATGCATCGACCAGGAATGTAAAGATGCCTGAGTAGACGAGGATTGTCCTAGTAACACGAGTTAGTATCACAGGATCAGAAGTACGCAGGTCAGGTGAGATTGATTTACCCTGCTCCAAAAACACCACTGCCAATGATGGGTGCAATCCAATGAACGTCAGGGTAGATCGTCCAAGCAAAGATGAACAGACCTATTGTGACCAAGGGTGCACCCAGGATGGCTTCCACGTTATCAGCCACTATTCTTAGATCATCCGCGGGAAACTTACCTGGGGGGAGCCGCCACTCCGGTTGGAAATCATCGATCTTGTTCGAGGCTTTCTCATGGTTGCGTTCCAGGCGAATATAGTTCCGGCGCCAAATTGGATCCGACAGAATGGCAAATACCATGCCAACAAACAGACCAAGGAAACACAAACCGCGCTGCCAGATTTCCAGCCCATAGACGTTGAAAAAGACTAGCTGGAATGCTCCAAAAAAGAGGTACAGGATACCCAGCAGAATGGCCGAGAAGATACAAAGACACAGACACATTGGCTCCAATGCCAACAGAAGAATTGGGCGATACATAGACCGCACGACGGTCTGCGCCACGGAACGTTGTAGCTTTTCGATCGGAGCTTTCCATCGGTCGTCTCCGGTTTCCTTGCGGAGTTTTTGCGCCTTGCGCCTCAAAAGTCTACACTTATCAGCACTCGTTTCGATAAACTCGGGGGTAGAACCTACACTGGGTGGTAGGTCTCCGGGACAAGGAAGATCATCGAGACTAGCAAGGCACCGGTCCAAATCAGGAGCACATAGAATGTCCAACGCCTGTAAGTCATATTAGCTCCAACCGTTGCCGCAGATCAATTTGTAAACATACCATGTAGTAAAAGCATTGATGAAGCCGCCAACACTGGAGACTGTTAGTTAAGCTAATGGGATTGCAAACAGAGGTCAACTCACAGAGGACCGACTTCGGGTCCAACAAATGGACTCGCGGTATAAAGCATCATGGGGAAAGCAAGTTCATGGCGACCAAACATATCGCCCACAGTGCCACCAGCGACACTCAGGAATGCACTACCTGACAGTCCATTGAAAAATCGAGAGACAAGCATTGTTGCGGTATTCTTAGCCACGGCACATGGAATCAGCCAGATGAGGAACAGCGAAAACGAAATTATATAGATGTTTCGTCGGCCATAGAACTGAATGTATAGGTCAGTTACTCAATACCCTCAAAAAAAAAAGGAAATAAGACAAACCTCAGACAAGGGACTCAAGAACAGCGGGCCAATTCCTAAATCGAACTGTCAGCACATACTTCAACAACCAACAAACAATACCACGAACCAAGACCCCAAATGAAAAACGACAACCCAAGAGTCGCAACCTCCTGCGAACACCCAAACTCATCCATCAACTGCGTATACGTCGTCGTATACATAGATGAGGTACAAGTCCTACCTCCAAATCAGCAATCAGCAGCACACCAGATATCAAATCCGAAAACTCACACACAAAGCGAACCCGTCGAAACAATCATAGTAACCAGCCATTTCCGTGCAGTACTCATATTCCGTGGATTCAACGGATCGTTCTCATCCCAACCAACAGTATAGAAATCGTCATCCTCCGCCACACCGGCCTCGTCAGCCTCGACATCATTCCCACCAGTACTAACACCATCATTAAGCGACCAGCTGCGCTCAAGCGATTTAGACGCATTAGATTTCTGTTTCTGCAATGGGGCACCGCGTTTCTCGTGCGTTTCTGCACCGGTAATCGGGGCGAAGGTCATGTCTTCAGAATTGGTGCGATCTATTTCATCGCTTTTGTCGCTGGATTGTCTTCCCGAGTCCATTTTGATTGTTCTCTCTTCTGAAGTTGAAGAGCGAGGCGGGTTTGTACTCGACGGGGACATCGTGGACAAACGGGCCTGGATTGTTAAGATGAGCTAAGCTCATCGGTGATATGAGCGAAAACTGGGGACGTTTTGCCTAAATAGATGGAGTAAATGGCGAGGCTGCGCGCCTCAGTCACTGTCGTTGGTTAATGTGCCCAGGTGTACAGCTCAGGGGAGAGAATATTTCTAATCGGAGATAGAAGTGGCCGAGCTGATCAATCACGGCATTCTAGCCGTGAAGTCTACGGAGGTGCAATTCCGGGTTTTTCTCGGAGAGGCCGAGTGATATCATTCCTTACCCTTTGATCTCTACGGGGTGTTTTTATTTAATTTTTTTTTATTTACTCTTTACAAAGTGATCAATTCACTACATACTGTATATTCATCCAGTAACGTTAAACCGGAGATCGACAATATGCGCCAAGACAAAAACTTTGACACACGTGGTTGAGATAACGGGCAATTCTCCGATAACGTGGTCCACTTCTACATTGGGACAAAGGAATATAGTCAATAGAGATATAGAGATATTGATATTGATATGTTCAATTAAGTTATTCAAAACGCACAAAATCATATCGTCGCTCCAATGGATCAATTGTCCATACCAAAAACTATCCCAAAGTCCCGTTCTCCTATCCAAAACACCTGATAGCAATGCTATCCCCAAAGTCAATAACCAGATAACCCGTGAGCCATGCCAAAAGTGAGCTATACAAAAAGGAAATGCGCCGGTAAATCCCAGAAATTTTGGTCAGAGGATTGCTTTACAGAGCCTGGCTCAGCTGGCTCATAGCACCAGCGGCGTTCTCCTCAGCCCAGGAGCCCCAGAGGTTCTGCTTGCCACGGATGGCGAGAGGACCACCAATAGCCTTGGAGCCCTGGTCAACCTTGACGGCATCCTTGGTGGCCAGAACCAAGACTTCGAAAAACATCTTGGTGGCATCGGCCTTACTAGACCGCTGCTCGGGGAGCAGGTCGTGGAACATCACACTCTTGTTCTGCGAGATCTCGGCATCACCGAGTTTCTCGCGGAGGATGTGTACAGCGTGCTTGGTACCCATGGAGACCGGCTCGGTGTCAATGGGGTGGGCGATGGTGTCATCCAACTCCTCGAGCTGGTTCATGTTTTCATCGTCACTCAAGTGGAGGTCCTGGTGTCCATCATCGCCAGGGAACTCGATCTCAGAGCGCTGGTTGAGAGTAGTGTCGACAGCAATACCCTCGTCAACGGGGACAATAGCTTCGTCCTCGCCAAGTTCGAGAGCAGGAACATCGGCGCCAGCCACCTCCATGTCAGAGATGCCACTGTCACGCTTGCGCTTCAGCTCACCAGCCTTCTTGACCGAGTCCAAAGACAGCAATCCACGCAGCTCAGGAGCCCATCCACGACCACGGTCCTCGCCGAACACACTGGACACGAAGTTGCCATTTTGCTGGCGGGTCATAAGAGCGAGAAGAACGGGGTCGCGAGGCAAGAAAGAAGCAGGCTTCATGATGGAGGAGCGGTCATTTTGCTGTTCTCTAATATCTTTGGTAGAAATGGCAACCGAACTGTCCAGTTCCATGAACTTCTGGCGCTTGGCGCGTTGAGCGTGCTCGGTAGTAACGACCTCGGGGGTGGCAGTATCACGGTTGAACTCTTCTTCCAGCCGGTTCATCTGGTCAGAGCCAGCATCCGAAAGAGGGCTTTCCGAGTCACGTTCAAATCGATTTTCGGTAGCGCGTGGGGTCTCGCCACCGAAGTCGTTCTCATCAGCAAGGTCCATTCCACCATCTGGGAGTAGATCGTTCAAGTTGTCGTGTCCATCATCGAGATCCATCTTATCGAGGCCATCATCCTCTCCGATGTCAAGGTCCAAATCGGCGCCGTCGTTGAACTTGCCGGCGTCGCTGAAAAGATCCTCCTCCACAGGACGGGGAGCAGGGGCGTCTCGACCAACTTCCATAGTCGGGTCGTTTCCAAGAGGCAGTTCATCCTCACCAAAGTCAAGGTCAACCAGGGAGGGGTCTTCAAGGCGTGCGGGTTCCTGAGAAACAGAACGGCGGAAGCTGCTGTCGGGAAGGAGTTGGCTACCTCCAAAGTCCATCGCACCAGGCCGCTTGGCAGCAGGCTCCAGGTCGAGTGTTTGCGGGAAGAGCAGAGACGTATCGAGGTTGGTGAAGAGATCAGATTCAGTAAGCACATCGGGAAGTGTGATGCCACCCGGCGCGACAACAGTAGATGTCAAGTCATTGTTGTTTGTGAGGCGGAAGGCCTAATATAAAATTAGAATTACCCGTGAAGTGCGTAGAGGAACATACCATCTTAATTTTCATCAAGGCTTCATTGCAATCATCAAGGAGGTATCGAGCCTTACGGCTGTAAATGCGAACGACACCCAAGAGCAACTGTCCACTCAATCGCAGGGCCATAGGCGCCTGGCCCTGGTCGACAATGGCATTGACACTGCTCTCAATATCGGACTGCAGGATGTGCGACTTGGAGAGTTTGCGTTCGATATTCGCCGACAACCAAACGCGAGCCAGCGGCCCGGTTTTTGACAGGAGAGTCTCGGAATAGAACATGGCGTGCGTCGCACTGAGATACTATACAGAAACAAAAGGTGGTTCACCAAGCCCAAAGGAGCAGAACCCGCCCGGCGCGGGGATAAGGCGTAACAGGGTGACGCGCTGGACCGGGAAAACAATTGACACGAGCGATGAGACGCACGCAGTTTCAGGTGAAAGGAATAGAGATACAATCAAAAGAGTAGTAAATCACCGAGTCGCGTGAAACGACATCGAAGTCAAGAATAGGAGGGGCGCGCGAGGGATAACTTGAGTTGGCAGAGAAACCAAGAGGAACGAGAGATGCGCGTGGGAATCAGGCGTCGACGGATTCCTGCTGACTCAGGAATTGAGGGGGCTGGAATGTGGTCATGTGATGTAAGTCACGTGCGTGATTCAGGTATTAGTCGTTGCCTCGCGCTAGTCTGTATACGGACATCGGACTAACTACTCATCCGGTATAACTAAGCCGCAACGGGTAAAGCATCAGCATGGCCTTGACCTGTTTGGAGAGGACTCCATGCTGTGAACCTAGTCTTTTCGCGATTTGGTTTTCAGCGAACGGCTCATCTGGCAGCTACTTGGATTTTTGCGCCCTATACTGTTAGTCCCCTGTCGTTACACTTGCGCCTCCACTCTTGTTGGTCTCCTGTTGGAAGCTGCTGCCAGATCACATCTAACGTGGCCTGCCGCAGAACCAATTCTCATCGAGACGGGATGAGAACCAATTCCCGACATACCTAAAGCGCTATCTGATCTCTTGTCTTTCATTTTACAAAGCATGAGAAATGTCAAGGTCAGCGACACCTTCATTACCTTTGCATAATGCATCGAACGACTCCTTACGACCTCCCTCAACCAACCCTATGAGTGGCCGGCCAAATGCTCCGTCATCGGTAAGTATGCAGTAACATCCTCTGGGTGACATCTACCTCCGGCATTGCTTGTGGCTGTTGCACAATTGCTAACGAATACTCTCCTTCCCCAGACCGCATATTCGTTGCTCGAGCCTCATGAAACCGCCAAGCGACTACGGACCTCCCTTTTACACGGCCTGACCCCCGCTGAGGCAGAGGTCCGGTTGGCACGCGATGGACCAAATGAGCTTCCCCACGAAGAACCAGAACCCCTCTGGCTGCGGTTTTTTAAACAGTTCAAGGAGACGCTCATCCTTCTCCTGCTCGCCTCTGCTGGTATATCATTCTTGATGGGAAACCTCGACGATGCCATCAGTATTACGCTCGCGGTGACAATCGTTGTAACAGTTGGCTTTGTGCAAGAGTACCGGTCGGAGAAGTCCTTGGAGGCATTGAGCCGCTTGATCCCCCATTATGCTCATTTGATCCGCCATCTGCCTACTACAATCTACGCGGGAGCTGAAAATGGCGGTTCTCCAATACCGGACTCCGGAGAGGAGCTGCAGGAAATCCGAAGCCAGAGTCCAGGTACGGCGAGTGCCGCCATCAAGGCGTCTTCGACCGTTCCCGCGACCGAGCTGGTGCCCGGAGACCTTGTCCTTTTCACTACTGGAGATCGTATCCCTGCCGATATTCGAATCACTGCTGCCACGCACTTGAGCATCGACGAATCGAACTTGACCGGCGAGAACGAACCTGTGTCGAAGTATGCGGAAGCTCTGCGCACTAAATCCAACGGAGCTGGCCCAGCAACTAGTGCAACAAACCCGCCTCGCTCCCCATTCTACGATGCACCGGCTACCGGGGCTGTTGGCGCTGACATTCGGCTGAATGAGCAGCACAACATTGCGTTCATGGGCACATTGGTTCGCTCAGGCTACGGTCAGGGTATCGTTATCTCGACAGGCGCGAAAACGGAGTTTGGCAGTATCTCGATTTCCTTGCAAGAGATTGAAAGTCCTCGAACACCGTTGCAACTGTCTATGGATCGCTTGGGTCAGGAACTGAGTTACATCTCTTTCGGTGTCATTGGATTGATTGTGGTGATTGGTCTCTTGCAGGGTCGCAAGCTACTCGAAATGTTCACTATTGGCGTTTCGCTTGCAGTTGCAGCCATTCCTGAGGGATTGCCTATCATTGTTACAGTCACCCTGGCTCTTGGAGTTTTGCGCATGGCTAAGAGAGGAGCTATCATGCGGAGGCTCCCTAGTGTTGAAACCCTTGGTTCTGTCAATGTCGTCTGCTCTGACAAGACCGGCACTCTCACTCTCAACCACATGACTGTAACCAAGATGTGGCATTTCGACTGCGCGGAGCCATTCGACATGCACAGAGACACAGCCTCGGTGGTGACTCCTGGCCCAGCAGCGCGAACCATCCTTCGCGTGGGAAATATTGCCAACAACTCGCGGTTATCGCGAATTCATGCCAACTCTCCAGCTAGTGCATCGTCTGCGGCAGTGCTTTCATCTACTGTCGACAGTGACTCGGCTGCCGCCAAGAGTAGATGGGTGGGCCAACCCACCGACGTGGCTATTCTGGATTTACTAGACACGTTGGGAGAGGATGATGTGCGTGATCGTATCAGTGCTCGCGTTCACGAAACCCCCTTCAGTTCCGAGCGTAAATGGATGGGTGTGATTATTGGTAGCTCTGGTGAATCATATGGCAGCTCTCATGTTGCCTATATTAAGGGTGCTCTCGAACAGGTCTTGGCACGCTCGGATACTTACCTTACAAAGGATGGCCGTGAGGTCATTCTGGATGAGCCCCGGCGCAAAATCATCCGTGACGCAGCAGAAAGCATGGCAGCGGAGGGCCTCAGAGTCCTCGCGTTCGCCAGTGGGGCAGTGCGAGACACCTCAAGAGGTAGCAGAAGCTTCGGTAGCCGTTCCGGTACACCTACGTTGAAGCCCAACCCCAGCGATGAGGATGATCGATACAACGGCTTGGTCTTTGCCGGATTGGCTGGTATGAACGATCCCCCGCGCAAGGATGTCCACAAATCCATTCGACGATTGATGTCCGGCGGTGTCAGAATCATCATGATTACTGGTGACGCTGAGACAACCGCTGTGGCCATTGCGACCAAGTTGGGCATGCCCATCAACAAGAACGCACGTTCTGTCATCCGAGGTGATGAACTTGACCGCATGACTGCTGCTGAACTTTCCCAGGCGATCTCAACCGTCTCCATCTTCGCCCGTACGAGCCCTGACCACAAGATGAAGATTGTGCAAGCACTTCAATCTCGCGGCGATGTGGTTGCCATGACTGGTGACGGTGTCAACGATGCGCCTGCTCTCAAGAAGGCGGATATTGGTATCTCCATGGGCAAGCTTGGCACCGATGTTGCCAAGGAAGCAGCGGACATGATTCTTACAGATGATGATTTCTCGACCATCCTTCGGGCGATCGAGCAGGGCAAGGGCATCTTCTATAACATTCAGAACTTCATTACGTTCCAGCTTAGCACCAGTGTGGCTGCACTCAGTCTCGTACTGCTGAGCACCACTCTTGGGTTCAAGAATCCGCTGAACGCCATGCAGATCTTGTGGATCAATATTCTCATGGATGGCCCACCCGCCCAGTCCCTAGGAGTCGAACCCGTCGACCCAACGATCATGAACCGCCCACCCAGACCCAAGACAGCCCGCGTCCTCACAAGACCTCTGATCCAACGAGTCCTCACCTCAGCCATGGTAATCATGTTCGGAACATTATCAATCTACATCCACGAAATGGGCGACATCGACGACGGCTCACCAGTCGACAAGCGCTCCCGCATCGTAACAGCCCACGATACAACCATGACATTCACCTGCTTTGTCCTCTTCGACATGTTCAACGCTCTAACCTGCCGCAGCGAAGGTAAATCCATCCTCCGCGGCGAAATGCCCCTCTTCGGAAACAAGATGTTCAACTACGCTGTTCTCGGCTCCCTGGCCGGCCAGGCCTGCGTCATCTACCTGCCTTTCCTGCAGCGTGTTTTCCAGACGGAACCTCTTGCCTTTGGGTCGCTGGTTAAGCTTGTTTGCATTGCTAGTTCTGTATTCTGGGTTGATGAGGGTCGCAAGTACTTGCATGCTATCCGTCGTCGTCGTGGTGTGGGCTCTGGGTATAGTGTCAATGTTTAATGTGGTGATGTATGTTTGGATGGTTTGGATTGCCTGTCACGGCCATAGATCTGTTCTTGGGGCAGGCATATGTAGTTTACCATATTTTGACTGATATCCCTATATACATAATAGAGTACTGTTGCAGTGCATTTCTTTCAGTGGTCTTTTGGATATACAATATACTTAACTCGCATGGCGAAAGGTTAAGCTTGATATATGTCTTTGGTAACGTTTCCAGATAGCTCGGGGAAGAGCAGCGGCACCACTAGCTCTACTTCACCTATAAACTTGCCCCCAGGAATAACAAGTCCTCCAGCTCTAGTAAGGATGTATTTTAAACAACATTGAAGTATATGCGAGCCAATATTACTCCATCAACCGGAACACGCACTCGGCCCCGTATGTATATATGTTTCGTAGACGACACACTCTCCTTAGCCTTTACATAACAGGCTAACCTCATTTTATATCCATTGCTCGTTACACCAAACCATTCATCTCCTGCCGTCGGGTAGTACCTTTACTGCAGAGGAAAGAACTCGTCATACAGAGGGCTGCCTCTTCAGTATAGATACGAAGAACGCATGCAAGTAGCATGTTAATCTTAACAAAGAGATTGCAAGGAAACATTGTGTGACTACAGTATGCATGACATTCCTGATTAATCTACAATTAACAAAATAGAAGAAAATCACAGTCAGCTCCTTACCTGTGTGAAAACATAGGGTAAGGGCAAAAAAAAGATTGACCGACGCAGGGGTCGAACCTGCAATCTCTTGATTCGTAGTCAAGCGCCTTGCCATTGGGCCAGCCGGCCTAGTTGTTATAACATCAGCCCACGATGATGCCATAAGAGTAAAAATAATGGTGCAAAGCTGGGCCAACTCAGCTTTGTTCCTCACCGAGCAGCTGCCTGTGATCCAACCCTGCTCCTTTACATGATCTACAATAACCATGGAATATACATTGTAATTTCTTAATGGGTTGAAGTCTTCGGGTATTTCTTTTGCCCGGATTTTAGAGTTGCCGCTCAAAGTCAGAATAGTTCGTTCCAAGGATATATTTAGCCACAAGACACCACATGTATATCGACGGTTACGCCACCCGTACCATCCCCAGGATCGAGAATTAACATGTACTTCCATTGTTATTCAGAGTCCGCATGGATCGGACTAAAACGAAAACTAGAAAAGAACTAGAAGAACTAGAGAACCGAAGTGGCTATTTTTAAGTAGGATTGAATGGTTCTCGACCGAGAGGCTGAAGCTGAAGACCCAGTTCCGCGGGGGCGGATCGGTGACCCTAGTGCAAGTCGAGGTGACACTACTGCAGAGTAATTTGGTGTCAAAATTAGCGGAATGTTCCTATCACATTCCGGTCAGCAATGGTCAACAACGACGAATAAATCCGGTCAAAACCAGCTATATTTACTCCGTACGCATGTCTGCAATTCGAGTCTCTGTTACAGTATAGATAGGGTCGATACTCCGGTGCCGGTGCCCAGCCCGAACTCGGGCAAGACTCGGGATCGGGATATTTCGGGATGCGAAGGCAAAACGACCTTATCTGCCGCCAATCGTTGACTCGCCTCCATATCGCCGCGCTAGTTCAGATGCAGCAAGGCTTGGCGTCCAGCGGGACCCACTTGATACCAGTGGCAACAGCTGCTTTATCTGTAGCCAATAGGAGGACAGAGATTCCAGCATCGATCATCCAATTGCTGGTGGCGGATAGAGATTCGAGGTCGAATGTCCGCGTTGGGAGATAAGTGCCTCTATACTCCGTACGCCCCCGCGTACAGCCGTTAGGACTCGAGGGTAGAGAAGGGTACCTGCAGATGATTAGTAGGGCAGATAAGCTATCTACTGTATATGAATCTTCAAAGCATATATACTTAGGTAGACCCTCCAGGGCTGTATCCTTTGAAGACTGGAGAATCCACTCCCCTGGAACTGCCCCAGGAACTCTTCCCCGGAGTGTAAGTCACTGCCGAGAAGGCAGGGTCACCGGAGTGATCGATTGGGCAAGTCATCATACGAGACCAAGAACTGCCGGCCAAGGCAAAGCTTCCCTTTCTCGGGAATTACCACTGCAATACGAAGACTCGCCACGTTTCTACACCATTTCCGCGGCCGCTGAAGCCGAGCCCATTTCCTTCACTAACAATACAGTACTTACACGCATACAAACATACATATACAAGGGAGTGGAAGGGAAGTAGGGATCATCATGGCGGTGATTGGTCGTGTGGACTGATTATCCCATTGCTATTGTCACAATCTCTGACAACACCATTTTTCCGACTTTCTCCCTTCTAACCGCGCCGTGCGCCTTTTCCCTATAGTTTATACTTCAATCTAACTGTTTTATTTTGCCTAATTCTCTCTATCTCTCTTCTTTCCTTTCTTTTTCTGATTTGATTACGGTGAAATATTCGATACGATTTCAGAGTGGAGACGGTCGATCCGACTTATCGCTGAACTTTCGGGCTCTCCACGCATCCAGAATTCCTTATAAGCCGTGGCGAACTTTTCCTTCCTACCTTTAACCAACCTCTCCCCTCTCTCTTTACACACTGCCGTCTCTCACCGATTCAGCGTGAGACTCCAGAGCTCACCATGTCGTTCAACGGGAAAGCTCCGTACGCCCCAGACTACGCGTCTTACAACTGGGTTGGCGCTCCCGCAAACTACGAGCTCTCGACCAACACAGACTTGGGCGGTGATTCCCGTATGCAACTCCTGTGATTCCCACTCAGCTCATTTCTAACCACATATTTTGCGTAGGCATTGAAAATGTGAACAAATGGTTCCAATCCGGTGACCAGGCCTACATCATCGTGGCCTCGGCCATGGTCATGGTCATGATTCCCGGTCTCGGCTTCTTGTACTCCGGATTGGCTCGCAGAAAGTCTGCTCTCAGTATGATTTGGGCCTGTATGGCGTCTTTTTCTGTGGTGACTTTCCAGTGGTACTTCTGGGGTTACTCACTCGCCTTCTCGCCGACCGCTACCAATGGATATATCGGCAACCTCCGCAACTTTGGGTTGATGAAGACTCTGGCTGATCCCAGTCCCGGTTCGCCATTGGTGCCGAACTTGCTATACGCATTCTACCAGATGCAATTCTGTGGTGTTACAGCTGCAATTGTCATGGGAGCTGTGGCTGAGCGCGGTCGCCTTCTTCCCGCTATGGTTTTCACCTTCATCTGGGCCACGATCGTCTACTGCCCCCTGGCCTGCTGGGCCTGGAACGTCAACGGGTGGGCCTTTAAATACGGCGTGATGGACTACGCCGGTGGTGGCCCCGTCGAAATCGGATCCGGATTCACAGCTCTGGCCTACTCGATGGTCCTCGGTCGCCGACAGGAACGCATGATGCTCAACTTCCGCCCTCACAACGTCTCGCTCATCCTCCTCGGTACGGTTTTCCTCTGGTTCGGCTGGCTCGGATTCAACGGTGGTTCTTCGTTCGGTGCCAACCTGCGTGCCACCATGGCCTCCTGGAACACTAACCTGACCGCCGCCTTTGCGGCCATTACCTGGGTTCTGCTCGATTGGCGCCTGGCCCGCAAGTGGTCGATGGTCGGCTGGTGTTCCGGAACCATCTCGGGTTTGGTAGCAGCCACTCCAGCCTCTGGATTCATCTCACCCTGGGCCAGCGTGATCCTCGGCGTGGTCACTGGCATCGTCTGCAATTACTCCACTAAGATCAAGTACTGGATCCGCATCGACGACTCGATGGATGTGTTAGCTGAGCACGGTATCGCCGGAATCGTCGGTCTAATCTTCAACGCTCTCTTCGGCGACGACGCCATCGTCGGCCTGGACGGCGTCAACACCGGCACCGGTGTCGGCGGCTGGGTCATCCACAACTACAAGCAGCTTTACATCCAGATCGCGTACATCGTCGCGACAGCCTCCTACGCGTTCGTCATGTCCGCCATCATCGCCTACGGCATCAACGCCATCCCTGGTCTGAACCTGCGCGCCAGCGAGGAAGCCGAACTCCTCGGTATGGACGACGACCAGCTGGGCGAGTTCGCCTACGACTACGTCGAGGTCCGCCGCGACTACCTCGCCTGGACACCCCAGAACCACGACCAGCTCGCAGATGGCCACCAGGTCCCCGCCGCCCAGCGCTACGGTATTGGCGAGCACAGTGAGATGATGCTCGGCAGCCCGCCTCGCGAGATGATGCTCGATGGACACGCGCCCAACGGCGAGATCAGCCACAGCAGCCGCGGCGGTAGTGAGGGTGACATGGCCATGCATGAGGTCAAGGTTGCGCCTGCTCCTCGCCAGGTTGCTGAGCAGCATCCTCCTGAAACGAACCCAACCGGGGAAGTTCCCATGTTGAGACCGGTCGATGAGAAGACAGAGAATTGATCAGTTCTTTTCTGTCGAATCTCTTCTTATTTGGCTTTCTTCCAAATCGCCATTCCATTCAGCATCTTTTGTTTTCTTCGTTTCTTCATTCGATATCCCTTGAGCGTGTTTCTTTCTGCGGTTAAAAGCCTGGGGCTTTTACTTTATTCCGATTTTGTCCTCGACACACTACATCTTACTACTATCACTACCACGTCTATACTCCGACCTCACCTTTACCCATTCCTCAACGACCTCATCACCATACTTACCCCTACAACTACAACCACATGCAATACCTCCCAACCACGAATACACCTGTTTCCTTGGGAAAAGCAAATCGATTTTTTGGTTTAATTGGCCTGGCGTTCTATTGTTTTTGGGCTTTGGGATATTAAACTAGGTTGGATCTGTACATAAACTGCTACTTTGTGTGAGCGTGAGCTTGGAGACATTTATTTATTACTCTACACTACAATGCCGAAATGGCTTTCCCTTTCTACCAAAACATTGGTCCTAACGTCACGTATACAAGCTCGTTCTGTAACGTGACCGTCGCGTGTTCACTCCAGATGTACTTACGGACTCTCCCCATACAAACTCAGCTAGTTCATCATCTATTGCTACATTGCTTCATACTTAAGATCCTTTC